TAGTGAATTTGCTAAGGTTTTAATTTGCCCAATCGATTGTTTGAGCTGAAGTGCAACTGCCTCTAAAGATTCCCGTCGTCTGATCCCGAAAATCAACGATTGTTTAACATACACGATGCGATCGTATACTAATTAGTTGGTTTTATAAAAAAATATGCCTCAAGCTTATAATTTTAAACAGTTTTTCATTCACCTCTACCAGTGGTTATTCATAAACAAATATTTTTACCCCTACTGATGCAATACCTGACGAAATATAAATAACATTATCAATTCAGATCAAACCTATTTACTTATAATATTATAAACACCTGAGTTTAGTTCACTTATCTGTTTTGAAATATGTATTAAAGCTATGTAAATACCGACCCATAAAGATATTTTAAGATTAATTTTATTCCGTCGAGGCTAATTCAGCTGACAAGTGAAACGTTTTAAATATTACATTATAAATTACTTTAATATGGAAACATTATATAAATGTATTAGGCCTATCCGATAAGAATAAACATAATTATGGGGAATAATCCCCGATGAGTTTCGTCTGCTGTACGCGTCAGTCGCTAATTCAAAATTCTAAATCATGATTAGCGGAATAGGAACGGATGATTTATTTACGATGAATCGATAAAATGCAAAATTTGCGAGAAAAATGCATTTTGTCAAGGTTTTTGCAAAATTGCGCCTAGTTTTTGTTAAGTGTAGCACAGTAAATCAATCCAAATTTCCATTTACATGCATTTGAGTCCAGCAACCGATATGTTGACTTGTCGCATTTATTGATCTGGATGACGTGAATATTCAACAACACCGCCATAAAAGTCATAATCATAATTAACATTTTAATTACTATTTATCCAGCACTAAAGCCTCCGCTTATAGCTTTATAGGCTTAAGTAATTTATTTTATTCCAAAGCAGTATTCAATTCGCTGCAACGCTTGATTGATAAAAATTAATTTCGCATGTGGGAGAATAGCGCCCATAAAATCTTTGTAATGCCGAAGAATTCAAATAGAAAATCGTGCAATAAAGCGCTTTACTCTGATGAACAATTTCTAGATTTGAAACTCTGATACGAAACTTAATGTATCGCTTTACATTGAGAGCGGCACGTAAATTTTAGATATTACTTCAACATCAACAAAAGATGTTTTATTTCGATAAATTAGTTTGAATGGAGTCGGGGCCCAGATAACTCACGATGTCAGTGAGAGATAATGTAGATAAAATCCTCCAGCTAAAATGAAAATGCCATCTCAAAATGTTGTTTGCACGATTTCTAGCTCAAAAACATCTACCAAATTTAATCGACTCAATTCACACCTTGCATAAGTCGACACAAATTGAAGAACGTGTAGGCGACAAAACAAAACTGATTAATCCATGAATATGAATAATGAAGTGGACGAAGAATACAATTGAACAGAATAATCACATGATTAAAGATGCATCAATGACGCACGATCAAGAACTTTCACAGATTCATTTCAAATGAGGGGTCGAAATGAATTGGGGAAGTTCTATGGAAAATTGCTCAATTTGTGAACCTTTTCCAGAGCGCGGAAAATTATTGTTTTTTTTTAACTAAAGTGTTTAGGCATTTTAATGCGTAAACACTTGACCTTTTCCTTTTGATGGAAAGTGAAATTAAAAGCATTCAAAAAGATATTGGGCAAGTACCTAATAATTTCCAACTGCAGGAATTGGATTGCGAAAATGTCCCAGCTTATTTCCAACCAAAATTTAGTATCTTGACCGCACTTTGTTGCTTAATCTTCCCAAAACTAAATTCCACTAAAACGCAAAAACGAGCATTTTGTGCGCGAGAATCACCCTCCCGATGGGTGTGAGATATATGGGGGTGCATGACATTAAAACTCAAATTCTCTTGAACTTCTGTGGTCTGGCCACTGGCTATTTTCCGATCAGTTCCTCAAGAATCGCGTTAGAGATCAGTTCCTGGCATTTTTGATATATCGCGCGTCGTTCTTTTCAAAACTCAGTTGTTTCGCAACTATGTTGCTGGTTGCTGTGTTGCTGATTTGTATTAGTGCTCTTTTTTACAAGCTGATTATTTCTCTGCTGGTTTACTTGATTTGAGGATTAATCCGCTTAACTATGACTATGGTGCTTTTCATATCAGCTACTTGCTTTGCAGGTGAGTTACTCACACTGGTTTTGAACACCCTGTAAATTAAACAAACTTCAACCTGTCTGAGTATACACACCTTAGACGTTTACCTTCGCGATGATCCGTTATCAATATTCTCAAAATCGTATAATTATCTATCGATAATGTACATATAGTAAATATCTTATTTTAAATATTCAGTTATCCAATAATCTTTGGTACTTCAACATGACATCGACACTTTTAAATGGAGCGATGTCCTACAGAAATTACTTTAATTCGCTCGGTATCGATAATGTGGCTGGAGTAGCTAATTTCCATAATTTCGCTTATCCCGGTAAGTACTCGCAACTCTTCAATCTATATCCGCGATGTGAAATGATTAATTGTTGCTGAATTGCGTTTTTGCTGTAACTGCTCTTGATTGTTTTATTTGCCAATCTGAACCGTTTCCACTTCGACGATTTTTCAAAAATTTACAACCTCCCGTTATATGCTTTTCATTTGGTCGTTCTTTGCGCAATTTCATTGCATTTTTGCAAGCTTAGAAATGTACAAGCGACATTTATATATACAGGGTGGTCAATGTTGCTGCTGTGCCATTGAGATTTTTGGATCCACATAATTTACCCGGTTAAAGCAACTAAGACAAAATAGTGCAATTTTGGACCAGTTTGGAAATTTAATTCAATCGTTTTTTCCCTTATTTTTTTAAATAGCAACAGTGCGGTCGATGAAACTGCGGCGTCTACAGGGTGGCATTTTTTGTCCGGCAACGTTGACTTTTTGTATCGTTTTCTTCTTACTGAATCTTGGGTCTTTAATTTAATTTAATAGATATAACTTTCTGAATTTATTTAATTTAATTTCTCACTGCACATTTTTTGAATAAAACGAACGGCAAAATTGCGAGTTGAGGTGTTTAACACTTACTCATAACATACAGTATGTTCCAAAAAACGGCCGCATCTACAAGGTGGATTGAATTATACATATTGAATACAAAATTATGACTTTTTCAATACGTATATGTAGCACAATTTTTTAAAATAAACAAACCATGTTTTAATTTAATTATCAATCGAATTTCAGAAAGCAAAATTAAAGCACTTTTTGAATAGTTGTTAAGTGTATTCAATCCATTTTTCCAGAAACCAACATTTTTTTTAGGTAAACTAGAAAATAATTTTCAAATGCTCAACAGACGAATTGTGCTGTTTAATTAAGACTTTTCTTAAAGGATGAAATTTCATTAAAAAACCCCAAGAGTAGTGAAGATGCGAAAACCATCGGTTATATTGAAAGCAAATGTAAAAAAGAAAAATTAGTTAGAAGTCTAACTTTTCTGAATGTTTTTAAGGAAAAGCCCTTAAAACAAACCAATGGAATGAGAAAAGCAATTTGTCCACCGTCAGTTCAATAACACGAAAATATTGACATTTAAGTAATAGGCACAAGATTGTTGTTACAAATGGAAATAATTAATAAGAAAACAATTAAATGGCTGGAAAACTGGAGGGACATCAATCGGGCCGTTCAATCACACGACAAAAGTAAATTCGAGCAATTAATAAGGAAAAAAACTAATACTCTCCCAATTAATGTGAACAATTAATTTCGGCAAAGTGGTCAGCAGCGGAAAAAACTAACCGACCAAAAAAGAAGCAATAATATCCCATAATTGGATTGCCGAGGGATTAAGCCAATAATTTACTACCGATATCAAATGCAAGCATCGATGCAGTTAAGCGATCCTTTAATTGAAATGATATTTTCGCTGTTTTGATAAATTTCGTTTTCGTTTTCGAATCGTTACCGCTCGAAACTGGCGCGATTAATGTACGAAAAACCGGGCCTCGAAGGAATTGAAACAAACATCTCGAACTTTATCAATCACACAACGACAGGGCAAATTCACGTAACTGAAAAAACAATTATTCAAAAATATGTATGTATTTTTGGGGTATTCAAATGACACATATGGGATTTGAGATAAAATGCTTAAAGGTAATTGAGCAAACATTGTTTTGTCGGAAGCTTTTGAAATTATTTCAAATGCGTAATATATAGGTGGGGTTTATCATCTGCGACTTAGAATTTACGACTTATTAGTTTTATTGGGGGCCTGTTTGTCATGCCGCAATTATTTTTGGGATAGTTTACTACTAATTTGAATGATTGAAGTCGATTTTTTGCCTCAAGCACTTAATCTTACTGCCATCCATTCTAATGCTGACTACGAAAGTGTCCAAGTTGTTAAGGATATGTACATTAGAGTCTGTTTTATTTATGAATGCGGGGACATAAGAAGGCCCATTTGGAGACCGAAGTGTCCATCTACAGGCGTCCCGGGTAGTTTAGCTGTTACGGCTCCCTTGGGAACACTGACCCTCTGCTATTATTTTTCGCCCTCAGGACCCTGGCTTTTGCATATATCCTACTTTATACAAGTCCTTATTTTTCCCACTTTTGTAGTGAATTTCCACAGTTGAAAGGATACCCGAGCTTTCAACGTGCTTGCCTTTATCTTGATTAACCGTGATCCTTCCGGCTCTTTCGATCAGACGATGTAAATTAATTTTTCTTTATCCAACTTCGAGCTGATATTTGCATGTCTGCATAGGTAAAAAACGCAGATCGCGTGTGGCCGCATTAAAACCGATATGAATATGGCGATTCATGCATATTTAAAAATATTCTTCTATTACATACTAGGGATTGAAGGCTTGAAACCACAGCATATGCTCATTGGATCCTTTCCAATTATGTGCATGCTGAATATTTATTGGATGTTTAATACTTATGAGGGCATTAGTCCAACAAAAATTATTCAATTACATGATTAAAAGTTTTTTTTTGTGTTACAGTTGAACACACGGCTGCGACGAAGCCGGAAAATCCCCCAACGCCATTGTCGCATCATGAAGGTAAGAACGAAACCTATGTAGAGCCAGCCAACCCATATTTCCCAGTCAAACTCGTTATATTCAGGGAAAATATGTACAGCAATTTTCCACTAGATTGTGCTTAAGCATGTTAAGTCCTGCATGGGCATTGATAAAGCAAATAGCCTTTTGATAAGCTCCCTAATACGAAAATTTCACGCCGCTGCTTTCCCACATTGAGCGAAGGGTGTTCGGTTTGGTCCAGTCGACTTTACCCCATTTGCCCACTTGAAATCGGGGATGTTTTTTCGATTTTAAAATATCGTCACTTGACATTCAAAACCAGTCGAACAAAATCTGAATATATTTAACATTCATTCTGTGGCCATTCAAACTTTGCCGGAAAACCCTCAAAGAATCTCGTAGGCGACGCACGAATTTCCCGAAGCTTAAAAATGCGCCCGTTTTGCATATTTTTCGTCTACACAATGGTTGTGAGAAATTCGTGGAAAATCGCTGAGAAACACATCAGGGAAATTAAAACATTTTTGAGCAACCATTTTAAAATATTACCGCTCTAAAAACCATCTCACCCTCATCCATGAATTTCCCCTTGATGTTTTATGATTCAAAAATGTCGGCACGTGTCTTAGCTTACCCCCAGCATGTGACTGTTTCCTTTATTAAAAAGGGTTAAGCTGTTTAGGCGGGGTTTATCTTCTCTATGATGGTTAACGGCGGAAGATCAACTTCGAATTACCCATTAAAGATTGGCGCTTCGATAAAGAGCTTGCGGTTTTCATAGTTATTTCAATAACGAAAGAGACAGTTGAACAACTTTTAGAAAAGAAGATATCGAGGATCGGCCTCCAGAAATCCACCTGATTACCAAGTTTTCACAAGTTAAGTATTTTTTCTCCTAGAAAGCACAGAAGTTTACTGAACTATTGGACATTTTGGAAAAGCGGAAGATATTGAGAATCGGTCTTCAGAAAAAAAACTTCTACGTTGATTGGCAATTATTCGGAAAACGATTCCCGGAATTTCCTAATTCAGTTTTACTCGTTGTTTATTACTTTTCAGAAGGAAAAAAACACGAAAGTTTATTTCTGCAGACCGATCCTCAATATTATCATTTGATTTTTTCCCCTTCTGGAAAAGAGTTATTTTTTTGCTGAACCAGGAAATTAATGTTTGGAATACTTGCTAGTCAAATCAGCAGTTTTTTCTTCGGAAGATCGATCCTCAATTTCTATCTTCACTTGCCATCATTTTGGCCAATATCTGTGTTTTCGAAGTCAAAAATTCACGAGTGAAGACTGAAGAAGGACACGTAATTTTTTGAAAGCTTAGTAATGAACTCCGAAGTTCCTTAGTAAAGACCCATTTTCGATATCTTCGCTTGAAATTATTTTATCATTTTTTGTAAAAAGTTTTTTCCTTTTTTTGGAAAGCAAAAGTGAAGTGGAAATTTAATGACATTCCGGAAGTTATTTTCCGACATCAAAAATAGTTTCCCAAAATTTCGGCCGTTAAATCAGAATTTTTTTTTCAAGATTGATCCTCAATATCTGCCTTCACTTATAAAAGTAAAAGGTCAACATTTCGGTCAATTTCTGTGTTTTCTTGGGCGATAAAAGCACGAGTGAATACTGAAGAAGGAAATTCCGGGAATCATTTTCGAAAGCTTTATTATCAATGCCATCAAAGCAAAAATACGCATAAAAACAAAGAGGAAATTTTGGTAATTCTTTGCCAAAATGTCCATTGAGAAGAAAATTAATTTTCCGACTGCTTGCTAGTCAAATCAGAAGTTTTTTTCGTAAGATCGATCTTCAATTTCTATCTTCCCTTGTCAAAGTTTTCCAAAATTTATGAAGTGAAGACTGAAGAAGGAAATTTTGGAAGTTTTTTGCCGAAATCTTGGCAATCAACTCAGAAGTTCTTTTTGAATACCGATCTTCAATTTCTTTACTTTAAATGTTATTTTCTCTCTTCTGTGGAAAGCATTTTCTTTTTTTTTGGAAAGCAAAAGCACGAATGCAAACAGAAACGAAATTCGGGTAATTCTTTCAAGAAAAATCTGCTGCTGGTGAAGGAATTTAATTTTCCGAAAGTTTGGTTGAAACCCAAGGCTTCTTTTTCGAAAATCGATCCTCAACATATTCACTTTTCAGAAAAACTGCAGAAATAAATCCATTTTCTAAAAACTTAGTAATCAACTCAAACAAGTTTTCTTCACATTCATCGATCCCGGTAATCGGTTTGGCACAAACTTAATTTGTCTTATCTTTGCCTGCTTCTTCCTATAAAGAAAGTGAGAAAAGATGGAACCTAATACCAGCATAAGTAATAAAGTCAGTAAATTAATTTAAAACAAAGCAATTTGAGTACCTAAAATAAGGAGTAATTTGAAAGTCACACAAATTTTGGTTTCTGAGGTCTTCATTGTTGAATATTCTGATTTATTTTCCTGACTGTGCGTACTTGTTATGATATTCTTATCTTTCCTGGGACACAGTCAAAGTGTGAAATAAAAATTTTGAAACATCGTTTATTTCATTACGTTTCGGCGAGACAACAGCGCCATCATCAGGTTTATAATTTACAAAGTGTTAAAACATTCATAAGTTTTTGAGGGAAAAAAAATCTTCCTTTTGGGAGAGCAAAACACCGGATAAACTTACCTCATGATTGGTAAAAATCAACGTCATTTTAGGTCTTTGCTCATGCAAAGCCTGCTCTTTTAGTTCTATACTCATGGCTTTATTAGGGTTTGGTAAATGTTGGTTGTCGGTATCTGGTCTGAAATTTACTGCTTTCGCATGTTTTTTATTTGTATCATTTCTTGGATTCTTCTTTTATGATAATTTGTTTCCTTAATTAATACATCAGCGTTGTCAAAATCAAAATTATGCAACATTTCGTATGCATGTTGTATCAATGCTGTTTTATTTTCACTAGTAGACTGTATTTATGTTCGTACATTCTCTTTTTTAACTATTGTTTAGTTTGTCCTATATATGTATTATCACATTCTAAACAATTCACTCTATATACAGTGTTTGATATATCCATTTTGTCAGTTTTTGGTTTTACTTTTGGGAAACATTCAGTTGATAAGTTGTTTTTTTTTCCGCAATTACAATGTTGTGCGGTTTTAGTATTTTTGAAATTTTTTTATTGATTTCTGGAGGATTTCTATTGGTAGTGATATATATGTATCTTTTCTTTGTTCTTCATTACTGTTATATTTAGTTGAGTTGTAAATTTGGTTAATTCTTCGCTTTATTATTGGTTCCGAAAATTTTTTTGGGTAGTTATTGTTAAGTATATTTGTCATTGTTAAGTATATTTGTCATTGTTGAATATGTGGGACAAAATTAAAACAGTCAATTGAAGTTAACGAATTCCACTTCGGGCCAACCAACTTTCACTTCTCATGTCTAATTACATTCAAATTTATCACTGATTTATAGAAAAATTAACGTTTTAATCACCAAATACCCGCACAAGTTGCACATTTACCTACTAGAACATTTCTGGATTTTCAATAAAATTTCATTCTCCTATTAATGACAAAAATGGAGTTTCCGACCTAATAATTCATATAGGAACAATAAGCCAGAAATTCAGGGTTTGTTCATGAGCCGAACTGCAGGTAGTTTCAATTGAATCATCAGAAAGCATGCGCAAATAAATTTTCCACAAACCTGATAATCAAATCAGAATTATGTTCCCCAAAACCGGCACCCAAAATCTTCATTTTTCAAAGTCGTTCAACATTTCAGGCAACTTCTGTGTTTTCGGTGCGGAAAAGAGCAAACTTAAGAAGAAAATTAATTTTGTGGGAAGTTGGTGATGAAGTCAAAAAGGTTTTTATCTGAAAACCGATTCCTAATATCTTGTGAACGAGGAGATAAATTTTCCGAAATCTTTTTGCTTAAATCAGATTTTTTGTCTGAAGACCCATCCTCAAGATCTTCCACTTTTCAACTGTCAACCTTTGTGTTTTCAACCAAGAAGGAAATGAATGTTCCGAAAGATGAAAACTCACCAGAATGTTTTTTTCTGAAAACCAAACTTCAGGATCTTGTGCCAGTTAAAACCCCAAGAAATGAAGCAAAAGAACCAATCCAAATGAGTGTTGAACATCATTCAAGTTCTTCTATAGTAAATCGTTCAATCCGCAAATTTGTGAAATAAAGTCGTCAAGTCATCAGGATTCTTCCAGTATCCACAAGTTCAGGGGTGGCATTCAAAACCTGCCACGTCACTAAGAAGATTGATGATTAACCCCCAGGTCGGCCATTGTTAACATGCTGCTAACCCTTGGCTTAACCCTAATCTGTATGAAGGTAACCGCGTGCGCCAATGGTGATTTTTCTTAATCAAAAATCAACCGTTTCAGCCCTTTTGTTATTTTCACCCTCTTAATGCGACACGCGCGCCATTTTGATACGATTTAAAATTTTAAAACGAGCTTTAGATGGGGCGCTGGTGTGGTCGTTTAGAATCGATGAATTAAGTCAGTTTGATTTTTTTTCGTTTAAATACTTAAGCAAACGTGAGTGAAATCCAGCAGAAGAGTGATCAGCGCGGTTGAGTGAACGCACATTGGCAATATTTTCGCCTGTTTAAAATCGATCAATCATCAAAGTCCGATGGATCAACGGTCGATCAAATGCTATTTTCGGCCGAGGGTGAATTTTAACGCGAAAACAGCCAAAGGGTGTTAACTGCAGTCAAAGAACAAAGAGAATGGTGTTAATCCGTGAAATTCGCTTTTAATCGATTCGATGTAGTACGCCGCATATGCCAATATTGTTAGATGCCCATTTTGTTCTTTTTTCCTGTCTGAGTTAGTTTTGATTTTTTTGCCATCCTTTGCGTAAGTGTGTTTTCAGTACCAACCCAAAGGTTTGTCTGGATGTTAAAAGCGCGATTTGTTTCAGATGGCAACAACAATGACGAATGCAGTGTCGATGAGCGGAGTGAAATTAGTGAAAACCATTCGGACAACCTTGATGATAATTCCGTAGATTCCGATCGAGATGGGGCTCTTAACTTGGTAAGTTTCGTGATCAATAATAAATTCAAATAACATAATTTCTGGTGTGGACATAAAAAATTGAAAGACCTACAAATGGCAAACAAAAGCAAGAGCTGCGGGGCACCAATTTAATTCGCATGTAATATTTTCCATGTTCTCCCAATGGAATTTAAACTTTCCGAATGTGCCCGGCAAGAAACTGTTACATTGGACAGCCGAGATTTATATATGATGTTTAGAGCAAATGTTTAGAAAAAGGCCATTCGCCGCTTAATAACTCGAGGGACGCGGCCGTCAATCGCAAACCAATCCAACATGGCAAATATTCCCGAGGAGAGTTTCATTATTGAAATGTAAACCTGATGTTCCATGGAATATTGTTGTTAAGCATGCCGCCAATAAAACTCCACTTGAGCCCAATTAATTGCCTGATCATGAAAATTGAAAATGCGCTGCATGTAGATCAGCTAACGAACCATCACGAAAGTCATTAATGTTTTGAATATGAGTCTACTTTCAATAATGTATCATGCACTTAACAAATTCTGTCCGGTCATGGCTTAATTGTTCCAAAATCATACGTTCAAGTTTGATTAACCACTCGAATATGGTTAAGCCATTGGATACGGTTGTTGTTTTCTTAATTAATTTCATTGCTTCAGGTCACCGCTCAGGCAGATCAACCCCGTTTATCCGCCCCTAATTCCTCGAACAACACCCCCAATGCGGACGCAACCAGTTCCAACTTGACGGCCGCCTTGGGCAACCTTTCTGGAATGTTTGGCCACAATTTTCCAGACGTCCAGAACATGTTGAGCAGTCTGCAGGCTTTTCACAACCCGCAAGCCATTCAACAGTTGCATCAGTTCGCGATGATGCAAGCCGCTGGACCGTCCTTAAATCATGCACAGTTGATATTTCATAATCAGGTAAAACAACCCTTTACTGAGGGCAAAGTTTCTAAACCGTTGCTTTCTTCAAGGGGCTTCTTCAAGGGTATCCTAGATCGGGGTTAACTCACAGAAACTCCCATTCAATACAGGTGTGTTTGCTGTTTTTAACACCAATTAGTTGCTTCCAATTTTCCTCCTTCTTCAAGTCGATCTTAATAGAATTAGTTGATGTTGCATGAAACGCTGCTTTGCAACGAATTTAGTACACGCACTGCAGATCAAAAATAATCTACACAGTGTCCCAAAACAGCCAAGCAACTTTATCTATTGAGTAAACTCTAGCCCAGCCTAAGCAAACATTTCACTCCATTCATCCGAGTAAACATAATCGAACAGGCTTATCACCAGCAATAAAATCACATGTAAAATGTAGGTTAATATAGCGCTAAGTATTTACTGATTAATGCATTCGATAATTCGACGAGAAAACATTCATATGTTATAATTGTTTAAACATAATTGTTTAAACATTGAAGACTGTGAATGAGCCTGGCGGCGGCCTAACTTGCATCTAGTAGTAATTCAATAATTCGATGCACAATACCCACAATATACCAGAAAACGAAAAAGCACATGGGCGACTCTTAGATCTAGATTTCTGGTGCAATTTCCTGTAGGCTTTCATTTAATTTATCGTTTATATCGTTATGTTTCTGTTTTTAAATCCGTTGCTTTTCATATCCCATACTTGATGCAATTCCCCGTATTTTGCAATAAATTATTTCCAAAATGCCACAAGAAAACAGCACGCAAAACTAAATGCAACAAATGTATAGGGCCCCTTTAGATGTGACTTAAATTTTTATTTAAAGGTCCAGCAGCTAGCACAGGCTGCTCAACAGCTTCAGCACATACAGAAGGCACAGGAACAGACGTCGCATCAACAGCAGCAAACGCATCATCATCAACTGAATCAAGCAATGCCTTCGAGCAGCCAAATCGCACATGTGGCCCAAAATCCAACTTCGCCGCCCATTAATCACAATATTCCTGCTAACATACGCTCACCAAATGCACCCGGTTCAGGAATGCGCACCCCTCAACAAATGAATACTCAAGCGAGGTTGCTGGAGGCCATTTCTGATGAAACGCAGCCAAAATTGGAAGAGTTGGAGCAATTCGCGAAAACATTCAAACAACGACGAATAAAACTGGGTAAGATAATTTGATTGATTTTTTTCCAACAAGACACTAGTACCACTGCAAAACACTCAGAACACGGGAAATATTTTGATTAGTTTTTGAGCGGTTACGGTTTTGAGCCGCTTCAAATTGCTGCTTCAGTTAGGAAGACCCGAATTTTTTTAAGGAGAGAACGCAATTGGGCAGGAAACCGCACTTTGAGATCGACTTTTACCAAGCTGGCAGCAATCATATGTAGAGTCAAGCTTCTTCTAAAGATGGTGAAAATTTCAAAACTCTGCGTGCATTAGTTTGGAACAGTTGATTAGGAACATCCATTAGGAGACTGGTGTTTAGTAATTTGATAAAATTCAGGGTTTGAGGCGATTTTGATTAAACCTTCAACCCTTTTAGATATTCAAGCATCTTCTAATGCTGGTAAATATTCCAAAATTCTAGATGCTTTAGTTTGAAAGGCGCGCTTTTTTAAAGACGATAGCGCAGTTGGTTAAGAAGGTCTATTATAAGACCGACATTTAATAAGCWTCAAAAATTTAGAATTTTCTACTTGCTTTGGTTTGAAAAACGTGATTTTTTTAAGTAGATAGCGCAGCTYATGATGAACGTCCATTATAAGACCGATATTTACTAAGCTGGCAAAATCAGAATTTTATGCGATAATGATAAAACTTCCAGCATCTTAAGAGTTGAATGTTAACGGATTGTGAAAATTAAAAATATCTACTGGCTTTCGTTTATCAGACAGTCATTTTTTTTAATAGAGAGCGCAATTGATCTTGAGGCTCTATTATCAGATGGATATTTTCTAAGCTGCCAAAAACCCGAATTTTATGCGATTTAGATGAAACTTTGAGCGTGTGTAGTGTCGTAATGGTCTGTAAAAATTTCGAGTTTCTACTTGCGTAAGTTTGGACAACAATAATTTTTTTAAGCAGAGAGCGCAGTTGGTCAAGGATGTCCATTATGAGACCGATATTTACTAAGCTGGAAATATCCAGAAATTTCTGCGATTTGGATGACACTCTGACCGTCTTTAGGCTCGTCAACTGTCTCTTTAACAGATTGGGAAATTTGCAAATTTCTACTAGTTTTGGTTTGGAATGCATAATTTTTTTGCAGTATTTACGTTTTTACTAAGCTGGCAACAATTCTGTTTTCGATTTTTATGCGATTTTGATGAAAGTTTTACCGTTCTTAGAGCCAAATATCTTTAAACGATGGTGCAAATTTGAAATTTCTACTTGCTTTAGTTTGGACGACAATATTTTTTTAAGTAGAGAGCTCGATTGGTTAAGGTATTTACTATTATAAAACCGATATTTACCAGGCTGGAAAAATCCAGAAACTTTCGCGATATTGATGAAACTCTGAGCGCTGTTAGACTGGAATATCTTTAACTCCAAATCAAAATCAATTCGTGGGCTTCAGTCATTTATTGTCTATTTATCAATTAAAATACGTTTCGGTGTTTTCCACCATCATCAGTTTCTATGTGTAACACCGAAACGTATTTTAATTGATAAATAGACAATAAATGCCTGAAGCCCAGGAATTGATTTTGATTTGGAATTGAAACACAGTCAGGAAAGTATGTACAATATCTTTAACAGATTGGAAAATTTCCAAAATTCTACTTGCTATGGTTTGGAAGGGACAGATTTTTCTTAGTCGTGAGCGCAGTTGTTCAAGAACGTCCATTATGAGACCGATATTTACAAATCTGTGAAAAATCATAGTTTTATGCAATTCTAAATAAAGTTTCAGTATCGTTAGACTCAGCTGTCTTCAACGGATGGTGAAATTTATAAATTTATACTAGCTTTCGTTTGGAAGACATGATTTTTTGAAGTAGTGAGTGCAGTTGGTTAACAACGTCTATTATAAGACCGGTATTTACGAAGTTGGCTAAATCAGAATTTTGATAAAATTTCCACCGTTTTAGGGTCGAATGTCTTAAACAAATTGTGAAATTTTCAAACTTGTAATTGCTTTGGTTTGCAAAACAAAAAATTGTTTAAAAAGAAAGCGCAATTGATGAAGACTTAATTTTAAGATCGATAATTACTAAGCTGGAAAAAATCTGAATTCTGCGCGATTTTCATGAAACTTTCAGCATCGTTAGGATCAACTGTCTTTAAAAAATAGTCAATTTCAAATTTCCACTTGCGGAAGAAGTTTGGAAGACGCGAAAGTTTAAAGTCGAGAACGCAGTTGATCCAGGAACGTTCTTTATAAAACCGATATTTACTAAGCTGACAAACATCTGAATTCGATACGATTTTGATGACACTTTGAAACTCTCAAGTCACAGTAAAAGTTTGCAAAGGATGGTGAAAATGTCAAGTTTCTGTTTGCTTTAGTTTGAAAGTCGCGATTTTTTTAAGGAGAGAACGCAAGTAATTAAGATTAGCCATTATGAGACAGAGATTTACTAATCTGAAAAAGAACAGGATTCTAGTCGATTTTAATTGAAATTTCCGTGTCTTTAGAGTCACGCGTTTCCAAAGGATGATGAAAATTTCAAATTATTACGGGCCAATTTTTGAAAAACACGAATTTTTTAAAGAGATGACGTCAAAACATTCATTATGAGACTGATATTAACTAAGTGTCTTGAAAGAGTATTTAAATTTTCAAATTTCTACGGTGAAACCTCACGATTTTCAGCAAAAAACCAACTCCTCAAATGTGCGTTGTCAGCTCAACGCATATCTTTCCACCTAAAAAAACTTCTAATATATAACAAAAATTTTTAAATATTTGCACCCATTTTACGAAAAAATCCAAGATTTCGGCGATGATAGATTCTATTCGATGTTGCAGGTTTTACCCAAGGAGATGTGGGCCTGGCCATGGGCAAACTCTACGGCAACGATTTTTCGCAAACAACCATATCCAGATTTGAGGCGCTGAATCTGAGCTTTAAAAATATGTGCAAGCTGAAACCACTGTTGCATAAGTGGCTTGAAGATGCCGACAGTTCGATGGCGAATCCAGGTGCTTTGAGTAATCCGATGGCTACACCCGAAACAATCGGCCGACGAAGAAAGAAAAGAACCTCTATCGAGACCACTGTTCGTCTAGCGTTAGAGAAAGCCTTCATGAGGAATCCGAAGCCGACTTCGGAAGAAATTTCCATGTTGGCCGACAGTCTCGGAATGGAGAAGGAAGTAGTGCGGGTTTGGTTCTGCAATCGCAGGCAAAAAGAGAAACGGATCAATCCACCCCCGGCTGCAATGGGCTCGCCTCCAAATGGATCGGGAATGTATTCTCCATTAGCGCTGGTCACATCGAACCACCAGAACTACAACCCGAACCTGATGATCAAGCAGGAATGACCCCACGTCAACTTCTTTGCCGACCATTTTATGGACTAATGCTGGTGAAGTTAACCTTGGTGAAGTGTTTAGTGCAATAGTACAATCCTTTGGGTTGATTTCGCATGAACGTTTATAATTTTTTATAAAAAGTCTGAGGATGAAGCGAAAACGAAACGCGATAAGTCAGGAAGTTGACACGAAAGTCGTTGGTTCAAGGTAAGTCAACCGCTCGAAGTGCTTTTGCCTGGTTGAACCCCAAACTGATAGAAACATTACATTATACTTTCGAATACCAAAAAACATTGCTGAAGAAACACTGGCACTGTTGGCACGCCTGCACGGTTTTTCAAGGACTTTATATTCAGCAGGCTTCCGCAACGAATGAAGAAGTAAGGAAGAGAAAAATGTTAATCCAACTTGAACATTTTGATGAAAATCTCAATGAATTTGACTTTCCGCTTTCTGAGGAATTGCCAACGTTTTTGCCTCGGTTTAATTCAATGTTGAGTGCACACACTTGTGCACTAACTATCTAGTAGCAGATTTTTCTAATTTTTCTTAAAGAAACTGTTCGTATATATTGTTTAGCTGTTAATATGTCTAATTATTACTATTATATACTTTTTTGTTGCATTCAGTCATTTCTGTGTTACTTAGAACATTAGTCTTAGAACAGTATTTTTTAAGCTCCACTCCACACAGACGGAACACTATGTATTAATGAACATTGACAAATGGCATCTATCTGTCTACAGGGTCTCAGATTATTAAGTTCGAAGTTTTTGCCCTTTGTCGATCGTGTAAGCAAAGAATATAAAGAGTTCGCACCACGCGAAAAACGTTTCTTGTACAGGTCAACATCAGACAAAAAATTGCAGCAAAGTGTGAGACTGATTTTATCAAATTAAGCGTCTTATGTTCATTGGACTGTAGATTTTTCTGCGCAAGTTTTATTCTTTAGAAAGACAAAAATGCATCACTGGGGAATTGTTGTCTAGTATATTCTGAATGTTTTTATATTTGAAATAAAAAATATACAAAATATCTAATATATTTACTTTTATTTGCTTTTATTTATAAACTAAAAACAAAAATTATTAAAATAAAATAAATAAAATACTATTTTGCAAGTACCACTTTGCAAAGTGGTAATGCAGTATTTTCCTTTGAAAAAGGCAGAATTTGCACATTTTTCACAATTAAGAAGGAATTCTTTATCTAGGTCACACTCGGGATCCAGTTGCAAGAGAAAAAATCCAATTAGCCAAGAAATTAATTTAGAAAAAATACCTTGACGTTTAAGAAGTAGACCAAAGAAACAGACACCTACATTAAATTTCACCAAAATTCTTAATTACTTTTATTTCCGTTTTTGTTAAACAATCAGATTTAAGTCCAGGCCAAAAAACGTAGTCGAAGAAATTTTCTATGTAGCTTTTGAGAACGATCGCAGACTTGCTATCGAAACTTACTAACTGGAACATTTATACCTCCTCATTTAAACGTGTTGACTTGGTCGGATTAATTTTGTAATTTGAATTAATTTTCGCTTCTCTTTGATGGAAAGCATTTGTGTATTATAAATGATTTAACTGAAAAATCGTATTTAGATGTCAAAATCAAATCGACTGGTAACGTTTCCCGGCGGCCGATTGGCCTGTTAAGTCCGCTATTTCTTCAATTTTAGAAGCTGGTGAGTTTTTGCCTTTTTTTTTGTTGTTGGGCATTAGAATTTCTTTCTGATGATTCGCAAGCACGACTGTCTAGAAGAACTTATTTTCCACTTTTTTGAGTTTAAAACTCGCGAAACTCTGAATTTGTTCGTCCTGTCTAAGTGCAAACTCTTGTTAGTCTTTGCAGTTTGTATAATTGTAAATCTGTCGATGTAGAAATGTATTTACGTAATTTAGCCGTTTGCATTATCTGGCGAGTTTTCAAGTTTCCATTTGAATATGGTGGAAAGTTGATAACTGCAAATATACAAATGTTACTGTACATATATTTCTCGGGTCTTTTAGTCAGAGAGGACCAATTTAGAATCGTTGTAAAAGTTCCTATTGATAATTATTAACGTTGGTATTAAACGATATCATTCGACAAGTCTAATCATAGATTTTAGTAATTTATGAGTTGTACATAAAAGTTCATTTCAGAGACTGACGTTATTACAGTTATTCAAATCTCGAACACGCCCGCAATTCGAATAGAGTAAACTTTTTATTTGCTTAAACTTTAAACTATTTTTTTTTATTTATCGTTTACAAAAGGTAACAGTTAAAGAAATCAGGCCCTCGTGTTCGAAGTTGAAAATCTGGTCACCTTGTAGATGATTCTTTTACTAACAACATTTCCAAGCGGTGTTTTAAGCAAAAATGAGTGGAAGAAAAGTTGTTAATAAAAATATTATATATTAGCTGAAGATTGGAAACGAATCAAAGCCCCTTGTAATAAAGTGTACAAACCTACAAATTGTTTTGTAAAAAGTCCTACATATCCAGATAAGTATAAGGAAATGATAGTCTGTGGATATACTTATAAAATCATATCAGCGTAACTTTAGCGTAATGTTTTTTGAACGTCCCAATATTTATTTTTGTTTCTATTGTATGACCCACTGTTTGTCGCATTTTGCCGAAAAAGTTCGACTTGGACTGGAAAATGCCACAATGCAGTTACGTTGTGTAGTAATTATGTACGTAGGTATATGTGTGTAGCAGTTACACCATATTTGGCATCCAAGACAAGATGAGCCAAAAACACTTTCAAACAGTATACAGTTTTTCTTATGTCCAAGTACTAAGTGTATCAGAAAAAAGACCCTATTCAGACTTGTACCATAAGTATAGGCAGTGGTCTAGGCAATAACATCCATTTTATTTTCATTAAAGAAATGAATTTATATCGTTTTATTTATCCGAACCTGAGGCCTTCTTTTCCTGATTAAGTCTTTGAGGAGCCAAAGGTTGCAAAGTCCTATGCATCCGATTTTTAATCATCCGACAGCGTCAATGTTTTATACATTCTATCGAACTTTGTGCATTTGTAGAGTCAAGTCTTTTCTAAAGACAGTGAAAATTTAAAATTGCTACTTTTATTAGTTTCGAACATACAAATTTTAAGAAAATGGTACGCCGTTGAGGACGATCATCGATTTTCAGACCGTTATTTCCCAAAAATGAGGATTATTTTCAGTTCGTTACTAATCTAAAGTTTCAGCATCTTTAAATTGAGGTATTTCCTATCGGTGGTGAAAATTTCGAATTGCTGTGTGCTTTGGTCTGGAAAATATTTTAAACAAGGGAACGCAGTTGAGTTGAAACAACATTATGAGGCCGATATTTAGGTACTAAGCTGGCAAAAATCAGAATTCTACTCGATTTCAGTTAAACCCAATCCTTAGAGTCCAGTAGGTTCTAACAACGCTGAAAATTTCAAATTTTTACGTCCACTAGTCTGGAAAATATGAATTTTCAAAGAAAAAAGCGCAGTTGCGAATAAAATAAATTGCTTCTTGTTTTCAAATTCAAATTGCTACTTGTTTTAGTCAGAAAGACTTGATTTTTTAAGTGTGAAGCGGATTCCTTTCAATTTTGATTAAACTCTCAGCATCTTTAGAGTCTAGTATGTATATGTGTGTCAAATTGTGCTCATTTCAAATATCAAATTTTTTAAGGCTAAAGCGCAGTTGGGTTAAAAAATCCATGACAAAACTGATATTTACTATGCTGGAAAAAATCAGGATTTGTGTCGATTTCAATAAAACTTTCAGAGCCTTTAGAGTCAGGCATCTGATAACGATTGCGAAAATTTCGAATTGCTACTTGTTTTAGTAAGACATACGTGATTTTTTAAGTGTGAAGCGGATCAGAGTTAAGTTCAAACATCCATTACGAGACTAATATTTAATAAACTGGTAAAACTTCGAAGTCCTTCCGATTTTTATCAAACTCTCAGCATCTTTAAAGTCGAGAAAGTTCTACCCATACTCAGAATATCACATCGCACCCTGCGTTATTTTAGAAAATCTGAATGTCTAAAGGCGAAAGCGCAGTTGAGTAAAAACATCCTTTACGAGACTGAAGTTGGTAAGCTGGAAAAAATCAGAATTTTGGTCGATTTTGATGAGCCTCTAAACGCCTTTAGAGTCGAACATGCTCTGCCCAGCCATACTGAAAATTTGAAATTGCTCCCAGTGTTAGTTTGGATAATATGAATTTTAGAGTCAAGCATCTTCTAACGATGGCGAAAATTTCAAATTGCTACTTGCTTTAGTCAGAAAGACGTGATTTTTTAAGAAGAAAGCGTATTGAAAAATGTATATTTGCGCTCTGTATCGTCTAAAATCAACAAAGCACAGTTATTTGCAAAGAAGCAGCGTAATTTATTAAATGTTAAAAAACCAGACTTGGTCAATGGAATTTTATATACAAGTCGATAGTAAAATTGCATTTTTGCTATAGATGACGGCACCAATTAAATGCTGATACACACCATTTCTAAATTTAAGATAAAGCTGAACTCACCTGATGAGGGCTAATAGGCCCGAAACTGGTCATGGGAGCAGACAATGAAGAAGACTTCGTCTTGGACTCCTCTTCAAGTCTAGCGGTATCGTTGCGCCACCCAGTAGTTGCGGTGCACACCCATTGTCTATCGTCGTTCGCCATTTTAGAATGCTGAATAGAATTTACGCTGGAGGGTAAACGTCAGGTAGATTGAAAAAATCACGTTATTTCTGCAAAAAGCTCTCTAACGACACGGACAATACCCGAAAACGATGCCGGAAAACTTGCGGATTGATAAAATCGTATTTTTTTCGCAGAAACATCGAATAATTCCGAAAATCTTTGAAAATTGTAACGGATCGAGCCCAACACACTGCTTGCTGACCCACATTAAACAAGTGACTAATTCTACGAAATGGCGCATGACTAGCGTTGATTATTTTATGCTTTTGATTGCCATTTTGGTTGCAAATCAGCGAAATTGTGTGTGAGTGTTAAAGTGAGAGCAATAAGCCCGAAATTAACTGATTAATTCCGTCTGAAACTCCCCGGAAACCTTCACAGGGGGTCTTACCTTCACAAAGGTAAGAAAACCTCAAAACTACTTTCAACAACGTCACGAAGACAACCTCAATTTGAAATGTTCCGGGTTCTCACGCGCTTGAAACCCTCATTTTCTGAGTGCGGCTCCCGCAAATCATCTCATCCGCCGCCTTGTCCACACGTGGAGCCCGGAGAAAAGCCCCAATACTCCAAACCCGATTGTTCCCGGGCTGTTATCATTGGCGGAACCGGCAGTGTAGGCCTAGCTACAGCTACTCAGCTCCTCTGCGCTAAGGCTGCAAAGGTCGCTCTCATAGACACAGACGCCTGCAAGGGAAAGGACGCAGTCACATCCTTAAACTGCTCATTTGGCAAAGACAAAGCGCTGTTCCTAAAGGCTGATGTTACCAACAAGATGGATATTCAGGACACTTTGAGGAAAGTGCGCGGCGAGCTCAAGCATGTGGACTTGATAGTGAATGCGTTCGGCATTTGGGACGAATCCAAATGGGAGGATGAAGTGAAAGTAAATCTCCTGGGCACTTTGAATGTGAATGAAATTGCCAAAGACATTGTCAGTCAACCGGGGGGACTTGTGCTGAATATCACAGGAATTCAGGGAATTGAAGTTTTCACCCCTGGTCCGGCATTAGCGGCCAGCTTTCTAGGGGTAGTGGGATTCACTCAATCCAAAGGCCATGAACGAAACGCATCGGCAAATGGGGTTAGAATTGTGGCCTTGTGCTGCGGTTTAACCCACTCACCTACCCTCAAGGAGGTGGAGCAGAGAACCTGCTGCCCAGCCATGGCCAACGACCTGAAAAACTACCTCAATGAGGGCTGCTGGCAGCAGCCGGAAGCTGCAGGAAAGGCGGCAGTCGAGCTGCTAAAATACGCGCCAAGCGGCAGTATTTGGATCGTTGAAGGCTCGCAGTTGTTTCATCTAAGGCTGCCCAGCTTGCACGCGTTCCGCACTTTAGAAACACAATTTACTTGAGCAACATATTTTATTCATGTGGAATACAGTATATGTCCAAAATTGGCTAAGTTTATTGCGCTATTTTCGCCTGTCTTCCCTATTCGTTATTTAAGAGTATGAAAATGTGAAAAAATGTGTCATCTTTCAGTTCGGCAGTGAATTATCAGTTCGGTTGAAGGTCGAGTTAAAGTCACGAAAAGAAAAGTCAGTTATAGGTACTAGAAGTATCAGTTCCATAACCAAGTGGGGCCATCTGGTAATCGTATATAACGAGCTCCCAACCTTCCCCTATACGCTTCAAGCCGGACACCGCATCGGCAAAATTCTTAATATAACACACCTGCGTTTGCATGAGAGTACCCACAAAATGGCACAAATTCACGTCCTGATGCCCTGACGCGACGCTATGAAGATGCAACATGCCCTAAAAATCAGCAGGAATTAATTGCGCGTTTCTCTTTCAGCTATCACTTGCCTCATGAGCGCGCTTCTCCAGCTCCAAAGCGTCCTGCATGATCTCCACGACTGTGCCCCATTCCTGCTTTTCTGGTGCCTCAATGGCCATTAAAACAATCCTGCCGCCTCTGATGTTCAGCTGGTTCATCAAACGTTTTGCATGTTCCAGTTCTGCATCTGAGGCGTACTTGAATATCTCGGAAAAGCCAGGTAGAGCTACATTATCTCTTTCGAGATGGTAAGCCTAGAAGAAAAATACTAGAATTTAATTGTAATGTAGCGTTGTTATAGTTGAGCGAAACAACACGACTGCCAGCAGCAATCTATTTTGATACAAAGGCTTTGATTTGGGTAATTGAGATGTTACATGTTAATTATGTTCTTTTCTCACTGCTTCGTATCAAAAAGCTGTAAAGAAGTCAACGAGCGGAGAAAATTCGGCCCATTCAAAGCCCAGAAATTTGGGACAAACGTCCCAAAGAAAAGTTTCTACGGCATGTTTCCGCTTCAACCATTAAAACTTGCCTAGAAGCTTTTAATGGAAAACTTATTTACGATAGGTACTTACCATGTATACGAACGTATAGCTAGTGAACAACTGCAAATTGATTTGCTTGTTAATCGCGTCCTCGCAATCCTTGTGGAAATTTTGACGCACTTGAGACTGGGCCATTTTTAAAGCAAATTCCAGTTTTTCGGTCGGGAAATTTAATGTTGGCTTCCGTAGCAGTAGCTATCGATTGAAAAAATGTAGAAAATGCGCTGAAATTGTGTACTGTGGCATGGACGACGCTGAAAAGGCGCCGCGTCGAATAACAGGGGCGGATCTAAACTGGAAATTAAACAAAACATTAGTCGCTTATGCAAAAATACGTGGTTTAAATGTACACAAAACTACCAGCGTTTAAAGAGTTTGCCTGCAAAGGACACATTAATTTACACGGGAAGGTTTCAGGCTAATTAGCTAGTAACGCATAAAAACTGACGAACGAATAGCAGATGTACTTGCTCATAAATATTATTGCATTATTATAAATTGGTGCTTTGATTAGTCGGCGTAAACAACCCAGTTGATGTCCAAACGGTTCGGGAATTCCTATACAAATCAAGTTGATTATTCGCACACGTTTATTTGTAAATTCGCTTGAGTTCCTCCTCGGACAACTCGGATTTGTACATGAAATTATCTTTGTGGTTGTTCACAAATGACTCGTAAACATGCAGGTCGAAGAGATGCTTGCCAATATCACAGTTAGTCATTTTTGATCTGGTCAGCAATCTGCCTAATGTCTGAATCGATTTATTCTGCAAAGGGAAATGTTGGCTACGTCAATGAAAACTCAGCGAAAACTTACGTGTTCTTCCAGAAATCTTCCCGAGACAAAGTCCACCAGCTGATGATCGCGATGTTTTTCCGCCAGCACCACCAATTTTTCCAATTTCTGATTTAACAAACATATTGCAGTGAAAAGGACGTCTTTTCGAGCTTGTAGGCCATTGTGGAATATAATTTAAGTGCGAAATTATTTTCCACAACCGAGAACTTCACCAATGAGTTCAATTCAAAACCGAGAGCTCTTATAGCAGAATATAGCTACCTCTTTTACTTGCGACTCCAACCGCACAGCAGTGAGGAACGTCTTGGAAATATCCTTCCAATCCTGGATGTCTGGCGGTTTGATGCAGGGCACTTGAACTTGACCGCCGCGCATTAACACGTAGTTGAGAAAAACTATTCCATGCTCATGTTCTTCCCTGCAAAGCCCAAATTTGTGTTTAAACGCCCCTATCATATTCCTTGAACTTACTCATGCATCTTCATGAAGAACCCTTGACATCCGGGCAGAGCAACCTGGCTCTTCCCATAGTAACACGCCATGGACAAATAAGCGAATGACGCTTTAAATTCAATTTCAATTTGCTCGTTTAATGCGGCTTCCACTTCCTTGTGAAACTTGTGACGGCCTGGATGTTCTTCATTTTTCCCACACTTTTTCCGATCACTTCCGCTGCTCTTTTGCTTCACCAAACTATCATAAGTGCTGACATTGCACGAGGGGCCTACGCCCTTATAAAAAGCGGCCACATTGATTTTATACATAACAGGCCCGATGTTTTTCCTGTGGTAGTTTATCAAGCTGGATTTTTGCGGGAAAAAATGTCGCCAGTACCAAACGAATAGGCGCCTGGAGAGCAGAGATATTGCCATCATTTAGCTTGCACTTGGCGTTTAATTGAATATTTCGTCCACATAGTGTATTTTTTATGTCAACTTCACTGGTAGGTAAACGGTAAAAGAGGGTGTTCCACTTTAACACCATAAAAAGGAGTTGTGATACCATTTTCATGAATGTTCATGCGGTAAAGCCGACCAGCTCTAAGTCGAAAATTTGGATGCTGGATGTTGCACGCGCAAAGTTCGCTCCAATTTAAATTTTTGCTTGCATTAGCTGACTTCGAGGTTTTTTTCCCCATTGGTTTGATGGAGTGCTGGAATATTCGGTGAACTTTTTATCACAGTCCAGCTGCTACAGCACGCATGAAGTGGAAGTATTTGGATCGTTGAAGGCTCGCAGTTGCTTCATCTAAGGCTGCCCAGCTTGCACGCGTTCCGTTCTTTAAAAACACCATTTACTTGAGCGAAATATTTTATTCATCTGGAATACAGTATATGTCCTAAATCGACTAAGTGTAATGCGCCAATTTCGCCCATCTTCCCTATTCGATGCCTAAGAGTATCAATATCTAGAAGAATAATAAACAGTTAATTCTCCGGCTCAGTCCGGTCAAAGCTTTTGTTGAGCCCTAAAACTACACTAAAATTTCCAGGTGAGTTGGCGTAGCTTGTTATCGAATACGACGACCCCCAAACCTTCCCCCACACGCTTCAGGTTGGTTACATAATCAGCAATCTCCTTAATACTAGTCACTTGCTCTTGCAGGAAATTCGTTTCCAGATAATCGCACAAGTTCACGTCCATGTGCCCTGACGCAACGCTATGAAGTTGCAACAGGCTCTAAAATTCAGCAGAACTTAATTGCGGGTTTTTCCTTTCAGCTATCACTTGCCTCATTAACGCGCTTCTCCAGCTCCAAGGCGTCCTGCATTGCCTCCTGCGGTGTGTCCCATTCCTGCCTCCCTGGAGCCTCAATGGCCTTTAAAGCAATCCTGCCTCCTCTGCTGTTTTGGTAGTCCATTAGAAGATGCGCATGATCCCGTTCGCTATCGCAGGCATGCTTGAAGTAGTGGATGAATCCACTTAGAGCTACATCGTCTCTTTGGAAATGGTGAGCCTACAAAACAATTTTACAGTGAAAACCACATAGATTAGAATGGAGTTTTAATTGTAATGACGCGCAGCTAAAGTTTTTGTTTACTCATTGATTGTCTCCGGCTGAACAGCGGCGCGTTTTGCTAACGCTAACTTAACTTCCATTCTCAAAAGAGATAGATTTTCGAGGCCATTCCTTAACACTAGTGGGTTTTTCGGGTTTTTAGAATGTATGGTCAGAACAGTGTAGCGTTCAAGCAACCCACCTCTGAAGATGTAAGCCACTCGTGCTTGCGAAACGTCAGGAAGAAATTCCATTTTACGACAGCCTAAAAACGCGAAAACCCACTAGTTTAAATTTCCATTGTATTTTTATATGGTGAGGCACTTTATATTTGAACGAAATACTCAGCACGATTGGCAGCAGCAACTTGTTCTGATACGAATCCCTTGATTCGGGTAATTGGAATTTTCTTCCACATTTCGTTTTAATTCTGTTCTTTTCTGACTGCTTCATATGAAAAAGCAGTCATTAAGTCCACGAGCCGATAAGGCCATTCCAAAAAAAGTTTCTATGGCATGTTTCAGTGTCAACCATTGTAGAAGCAACTTACTTCCATCTTAGTATTATTTTAATGGAAAACGCATTTAAGGTACTCACCATGCACATATACGTATAGCTGCAGAACAATTCCAAATTGACTTGCTTGTTAATCGCGTCCTCACAATCCTTGTGGAAATTCTGACGCACTTGAGAGTGAGCCATTTTTACAACAAAATCTAATTTTTCAGTCGGGAAATTTAATGTTGACTTCCGCAGCAGTAGCTATTGATTGAAAAAAATGTCGATTATGCGCTGAAATTACCGCACGGTGGCATGGACGGCGCTGAAAACTCGGGCGCCGCGTCGGATAACAGTGGCGGACCTTGAGTGCCAATTAAAAAAACATTAATTGTTTATGAAAAATTACGTGATTTATATTTACGTAAAACTACCAGGGTTCAAAAATTTTGATCCTGCAAAGGACACATTAATTTACACTTGAACGTTTCAGGCCAATTAGCCAGTAACACATAAAAGCTAACGAACAAATACCCCCCGTATTTGTTCATAAACCTTTTTGAATTGTTATCAATTTAAATGCTTTGATTAGTCGGCGTAATTTGGCGTAAACAACCCAGTTGATGTCCAAACAGTTTGGAAAATTCCTACACATAACACCTGTTGAAAACGTTTACTATTCGCACTCGTTTATTTTAAATTCCCATAATGTTCTAAATAAACTTCGACTTTAAACCGGCGCGGCAGCACAAATCGGAACCAGCCAAATTCAGGTAGCGATTTCATATGAGACTAAAGATGTTGAAAGTTTTCTTTGGCTTTGACTCAAAATGGATGTTCAAGTCCAACTGGAGTCTGTTTCTGAAAAATTCTGATTGTTTTAAGTTAAAACTCTCGATTGTTTAGGTCGGGTGATCGAAGTGGCCTAGCTACTGTTCCACCTCGTCCAATTGATCGTTTTTCAATAATTTCATATAATATTCGACTGAGTCAACACGAGCTTTCTTCATTTATAGCCATAAATCGCCTGTTTCCCAGAAATTCTGAATAAGCACAAATTCAGCCAGTGGCGAATCCCGAATCCAGAATCTTGATCTGGGGAGGGCTGAGGTCACAAAAAAGTTAGATCGTGTTGTATCAACGTATCGTAGGCTTTTCCTGTGGTAGTTTCTCAAACTGGATGGTTTGCGCCCACGGGGCTGGATCGAGTGAAACTTGGATTTGTGGAGGAAAAGTTAAAAAAAATGGGCGCCTGGAAGCAATGATACTGCCATAATTTAGCGTGCCATTAACGTTTAATTGAATTATTCGTCCACAATTTTTCTTATGTCAACTTTCTTCTTTGTGTTGACCCATGTCGGCCCAATAAAAGGCAGTAATTATGTCATTTTAATGAAAGTGTATGTGGGAAATATGATTGCTAGTGGGGCCACTCCAAGCCGACCAGCTCTAAGTCTAAAAATTGAATCCCATCAGGAGAGACCAGAATTCCATGCTTGACCTTTTGATGCACGTGCAAGGTGCGCTCCGATTTAAACTTTTGCTTGCAGTAGCTGCATTCGTGGTTTTTCTCCCCATTGGTTTGATGGACTGCCTGGTGTTTGTAGAGGGACGAATATTCGGTGAACTTTTTATCACAGCCCTTCACGTGGCAAGCAAACGGTTTTTCCCCCGAGTGGATTCTGGCGTGGTTCTTGTAGTTGGTGGAGGACGCAAAGGCTTTGCCGCAATTCGGATAGTCGCACACGTAGGGCCGCTCTCCTGTATGCGACCTGACATGGACCTTCCGTATGTTAGAAGTCGTGAAGGATTTTCCGCAGCCTTCCACTGGGCAGGCGAACGGCTTCTCGCCTAAAATGTGCCATTATTCACTCACGGGGTCTTAATTAGAGCGCTAATTTTACCAGTATGGGTTCGGATGTGCTTCAGAAGATCTCCAGAAGTTTTAAAGCTCTTCAAGCATACGCGGCAAGCGTACGGTTTTTCCCCAGTATGGGTTCTCCAATGAGTAGTTAGCGAATAATTGGTGGCGAATTTTTTGCCACATCCCTCGTAGCTGCATTGGAATGACTTGTTGTTGATATGGTTGCGTAAGTGCACCTAGAATACATTTATGTAGAGGGTTCCAAGTATTCAGGAATACCTTTTCGTGTAGAAAACTAGGGCCGTTCATAAAAGTCTTTCAAACTTTCACTTTTTCCACTAATAAAAAGACAATAAACTTACAGTCAGCAACTTGGATGTTGAATAGAAGTTCTCGCAGCCCTTGTACAAGCACTTGAATTTTTTGGGGGCTTCCACTGGCTTGCAGCCCTCCACATCATCAAGCATGATCATTTCATAGGGCTCCAGCTTCAGGATGCCATCTTCGGCTTCTAGAACAAAATGGCCCCTACTGAAGACTGTATGTTAAAGCTGAGAATGCGCCCCAACCTGATAGTTCGGATATTTCTTCTATACCTTCGGTGATTGATGTGGCTTCTATATGAGCCACCGTACTTTCTTCATCAACCTCTATTGCTTGAGTGGCAATAAACTGGGGCTCGACCTCTGAAGACTCTCCAGATTTGTCTGAAAATGCCTCTAATGCAGTCATTAGAGAAGGGAACAATTGGGGTGTTTACCACTGCTCGGGGGTATATAGAAGTACTGCTCATCCCCCAAAGTGACGATCTTGATTCCGGAATTTAGCACCCTGGAAGCATCCAAAACAGAATTTGCCTGGACCACATAAGATAGGGTGTCGCTGCTTTCAGGCTCCGGATTAGATTGAGGGTTTTCTTCATCTTGCTCTTCAATCTTCAGATAAATAATATCATTGTCTGAGACCTCGCCCATGAATGAGTCCAGTTGTTCCTCCTTGTCCAAAACAGGATAAACTGTAATTTGTGAATCGCCATCTGGAAAAATTTAGCTTTGTGTTGATATTTAGATTTTTCAAATGAGAAAGTAGGGAAATTACCCATAATCAATTGCGATTCTGACAGTGACAGTCCTAAAAAGAATCAGCCAGAATCAGCACTCCATTGGTTATTTATTCTCTGGTTAATTTAATTGATATTGACAGGGATTGCTGGATTCACAAGTTCAACAACCTCTAACATTTATACAGGGACCTTCACAAAGGTGTTCACAAAGTTCAGCTTATAACAGCTGAGTGTTTTTTAACCTTAAAATAGTCGCTTGCGCGCGATGCTATCGAAGCGTTGGGAAATGTCAGGCAGCATTTGAAAAATCAGAGTTTGCTTGATATATCATTATGCAACAAGCTGAAAATATAGCGAATTTTTTTTCATTTTTTGATTTATTTAGACTAGTTTGATTACTTTTCTTTAAATCGCTGTCAGCTAGAGTCATTTATAGAGTCTAGAAGAGCAAGAGAGAAAGATACTGTTTAGACGGCTTACGATTATTTTCTAGTTCACCTCCTGTGACATAAAACTACTCAAATCACACAGTAATTGTTTTTTGTAAACCGTAGCTATTGGCAAGGATCTGATAATATTAGCAACAATACTTGAGTACTGAAATAAAATTATAAATTATTTTTCAAACCGTCTAGCTTAGTAATGACAGTCTAGTTGGCTGTGGATGTCTGATATGTGTAAATAGAATCATCTTTTTACACGTCAAAACTTATTAAATAGCATATCCCCATTAACAAACAGTTTTCTGTGAAAATGGCCCTTTAATGAGCCGGTAACGTTGTTGTGCAATCGAGGGAAACCAGCAAAACTCCCCCAGACTTAGAAATGGGTGAGTAGCCGAATGAAAACCCATAGACAGTTTTAAAGGTTAGTTTTCCAGGTGTCTTGTTTAGTTATTTTAAAAGCCTGATTGGGGCGCGAGAAATGCGAATTCTCATACTAGGATTAGACGGTGCTGGCAAAACCACCATCCTATACAGGCTGCAAGTTGGGGAAGTTGTAACCACGATTCCCACCATAGGGTTTAATGTAGAACAAGTCACATACAAAAATCTTAAGTTTCAAGTTTGGGACCTTGGAGGGCAAACTAGCATCAGGTCAGCACTATTTTCCAAACGGCCTGCTGCCCTAGACTGGGGCCAGAAGGAATAACCTCATTTAACGCTACATTTATTAGTGGAACCAATTAATCTAAAAGCTATTGATTCTAGGCCTTACTGGAGATGCTACTACAGCAATACAGATGCCATTATCTATGTAGTGGATTCTGCAGATAAAGAGAGAATGGGCATATCAAAAGATGAACTTTTTCACATGCTCAGGGTGAGTTTGCAGAACAAAAATCAAGGGCCAGAAATGAGTGTCGGATGTTAATTGCAGGAGGAAGAACTACAAGACGCCATTCTGGTAGTTCTCGCAAACAAACAAGACATACCTGGCTGTATGTCGCTGAAAGAAGTCCATCAAGCGCTCGGTCTAGAAGCGTTAAAAAATCGAACATTTCAAATATTCAAAACATCGGCCACAAAAGGCGAAGGCCTGGATATGGCAATGGAATGGCTGGCAAACGCACTTAAAAATCGGAAATAACAGTTCAATGTTTGTTTTGTATTTATTTCTCTAGTCTTAATCATAAAGTGCAAACGCGGTTTGTGCTACTTTGCCGATGAAACATTGGGTTGGTTTGTTGAAGACGTTTATTTATTAGGCCAATGGTTGGTTTAATGAAAGGTGACGAAACCACTTACGTTTCGATAATTTAGAGTAGTTTATAAAGCTTCATTCCATAACGTTTGTGTCCTTTGAAAAAATGTTCTATTAATTTAACTGTTTAGTTTTGTATGTCGCAATTTTAATCGGCTACACATTAGAAGCGCGTTGAAGAAATGTGTATCCAAATAGCTATTCATTGTAAACCCAAAATAAATATTAACAAGTATCCAAAACATATTTATCTAAATTTTACATGGTAGATGTTTAATAATAACAGTCACTTTGTACCACACTTAACGGATTCTAGTATGTAAATAAATTTAGTTTAGTACTTTCACTCTTTCTTAGCTTCAAAATCATCGTTAATAGACAAAAACTTTTGCAACAATTGGAACGCTCGGTAAATCGTACCCTTTCATTAATTACTTGTTAAAACATATCTTGATCCATAAGTTCGTCCTCCTCCTCCGGCACTGGATCACCAAAACGACCAATCTTAGTCTTGCTAGTGTCCAGTTCCATTTGAACCTTTTTCCTGATGTAAAATATCGGGCAATCCCTGCTAGTGCACAGGATTTCCTCGTGTAGAGAGCCCTGACATCGTTGACATTCTTAGAAAAAACAAACAATCATATTTGGATTTTTCTTCTGAAACAGTGACTATCTACCAGTGAACAGAGCGGCAAATCTATCTTCCAACATACGGTGATGGCACAATTCCTGCTGATAAATAGCGGATTCTTTCGGCTTACAGTAGGGACAAACTGCCTCTTTTTCGTAGCCTTTGGGTAGAACCGATTTGCATCCCAAACAAGTTTCTTTTTTCTGAGTGAATGCCGACAGGGCGCCTACTTTGGATGTGACCACAGTCCTTGTTCTAGTATGTTCGCCTCCTGAGTAAGCAAACCATTATTTTCAAATTCAGACCAAAAAATATGGTTTGCTCTGACATTCGACTGCGAAAACTTACGCAACAGAATCGACTCAGCATTGTCGCCCAAAATTGGCTGAAAAATCCTGACCAGCGGCTTGGATAGTTGATTTTCTAAGTAATACTTTGCGTCTATTGGCACGTTGTTTTCCAGCACATAAATCGGGTCCTAAAAAACATCGGTTAGCATAATACGAAGGCGCGGGTTTAGTTGGCGCTTACTTCGGCTTTTTCAAAGGCTTTTGCTGACTTGGTGGCCGCAGTAATCACATAAGGGATGCGATCGCCCAATTTGGGTGCATTTCCGGGGTCGCGTTTCTTCATCTTCTTGGCGAGCTCCACATGGGCTTGTTTGGCTGCATAGTCTTCCTTGGTCAGCTCTTTTGTTATCACCAGCTGCGAGATGTCGATGTTGTTCTGCAACAGGTCGGAAATGACCAACTTTGCGTAATTAACTGCGCCGTCAGGGTCTCTGAAAACAAAAATATATTACTCTCGTTCTGAGTCAGTTTCAGCACCATTTACCTATCAATTAGTAGTTTTTGAAGACACGTGTTAATTACATCCACTACTAGGGTGCAGTTGTCTCTTCTCACGGTCTCTATCCCTTTGCAATCCATTTTGTCGTACTTGTCGGGTTTGGTAAAGTACAGCCCAGCGTACCTTTTCTTGTTAATGAGCAAGTATGGGTAGTAGACCTAGAACAGTGAAAATTAGTCCTAACTGGGAATTTTTGCGGTTGTATGGGGGTGCCTTTTCAAACTCCAACTTGATGGGGCTGATAAACTTGGCGCTGATAAGGGCGGCAGCCTCCCGCCCCAATTCCATACTCTTCTCCAAACTCTTCACTTTGAAATTGACCATCACCGAATCAGTGTCGCCATATATTACTTTCGCATCGCTTTCATACCCATTTTCCACTTTGTAGTGTTGCTCGACTTCCTGCTTGGTTTGCTCTATCATTGTGCGTCCATAAGCGGTAACACTCTGCAAAAAATAGCGTTGGATATTCACAGCACTCGATTAAATCAAAGGACTTACGCCCGATATTTCCAAACAAGGCAGTTTGCCAACTTGCGCCCCAGTGAAACCATACACCGAATTGGCGGAGATTTTGTAGGCCAGCTGCCTGCCGTTGAGCACGTTCCTTAAAATAGGGTCTTTAACGTCTTTCAACAAATCCCGGGTTTTCTTTCTGGCTGCCAGCAGATGCTGCAGAATATGCGGCAAAAGTCCCGGTCGCACTGAAGATTTCACAAACATGCAGTTGGCTGGGGTGGTTGTGACTTGGTCATCGGACAATCTAGAAAGTTAAACATTTAATTCTGATTTCACCAGTGCGTTGAATGGACCCAAATTTATACCACGTCTAAACCAGAGCTTTCTTTATCTAGGGCTGAAATCCAAATTTCGATATCTCAACTGATTTTCCAGAAATAGTATTCGGAAGTGTATGATGTAAAATTGAAAAACCACGCAAAAAATCTTCAAAGTTTGAAAATTCATTCTGATGACATCAGTGCCTTGAATTGAACAAAATTTACACCGCATCTAAACTGAATCTTTCATGATCAAGTCCTGAAACCATTATTTCAATATCCCAACAAATTTCCTAGAAATCGTCTTTAAAAGTGCAAGATGCAGAAATGAAAAACCGCGCAAAGTTTAAAAAATCATTCTGAAGACACCAGTGCCATCATAAGTACCAAATTCCCACTACATACGAACTGAAGCTATCCGAAAATATCTATCGAGTGCTGAAACTGTTATTCCAATGTCTCGACTGATTGCTTTAAAACCAGCCTCCAAAAGCAAAAACCGCTCCAAAGCTTTCCTCACCCTAATTTCTCCTTTGCAAACTGGCTCTTAATCAAGGTGGTGTAGCACAAATTGTGCGCAATCATAATACTGGGGTATAGAGAGCTGAAATCCAGGGTGGCAATCGGATCGGTATAGTAGCCCCTAATGGGCTCAATTACTGTAGCCCCTTCGTACTGTTCGGAGCCCGCCTGACCTTGATGGGCGGGCATAAAGTATCCGGCTTGTCTTGCCTAAAAAAACCTCATAAGATCAAATGTTTAAACAAATTAACGTCTGACCGCCTACATGTCTTAGCAGCTGAGCAACCACCTTCACCTGCTCGCCCTTTGTTAGCAAACTAGTTATGGGCACTCCGGTAACTCGGGCCATTTCTATATCATTTGTGAAGCTCAAAACCGTACCGATCAGTCTCAAGGGCAGTTCAGCGTCCTTTAAACAATAAACGGCCAATCTGAAATGGACATAAAGGTCAAAGCTTTATACTGCACTCAAGGCGTCGTTACCTTCTTCGGGTTTGATCATCTCCATTCTGCAGGTCAGTGATAATGCTGTAATGAACATCCTCCTTCTGCTCACCTAGCAGGTTCTGGCAAACACTATTAAGGGTGTAGGAGCGCAGCTTGCAGTCCCGTTTGATAACCAGCAGCATGTCGTAGGGAACCCGCCCTTCAAAGTTGATGGTTTTATACGTGCGCTTGCCGATTTTGGTTTGAGTGACTGTCTCTTTAATCTGCGATCTGCATTGTTAAATACAACGTTTGCAGAATGAGTGGTTTAGCTCCCGCCTCCATATGCCCACCTGACATTCAAAAGTCTGCCCAAAAAATCAAACTTTGCCACCTTTAGGTGCTTCGCCCTGTCCAGTAGATAGGTGAAGTCGAAGTTGTTGATGTTGTAGCCGGTGAAGATATCGGGGTCCAATTCCCGCACAAAATCCGCCCATGCCGCCAACATTTCCTCCTCCTTTTCATAGCAATACACCTGGACAACGTAGGTTTACCTCAGCGCACTTAATTGGAGAACATTCATATCACCCACCTCTGCATGGCCAATGGGAGCACATGAGTTCAAACAAAAAATGTTTCTGGCCATTACTTCCTTTGCGCCATGGAGTTGTATCACGTTGGCAATTTGGATGATCGGGTCTATGTTTGGTTCGGGGAAAATACCTACAAAACCCAAGGATTAAGTAGGAAAAAATCGCCCAGAACATGGCAAACCTTTTCGGCCTGCACACTCAATATCAAAGCTATGGATTCTGAACTGGGCAACATCAGCCCAGTCTCCTTCAGGGGCGTGAGCAATAAAATCCGCCCAGGAAACATCGCACTCCACTTGGCAGCGGGATATTTTGGAATGCAACGATTTGCCCGTTCTGAGGTGCCACTTTTTGGGGGGCAACTCTATCCAAACGCACCCCAGTATGTGAGTGTCCACCATAAACCTGCAATTCACCATCAATTCAATTTTAGAGCTGAATATTCGATACAAGCAGCCGGGTACCTTGTTTCAATATCCACGTTGCTTTCGAAAAACTCAAAAGAATGCGACGCTAGTGGCTGATAAACCACCTGAGCGCTCAAGAGTCTCTTTGCTGCTGGCACGAACTTGTGTTGGGCCACAGTGACTTTAGCAAACGGCTCATCTTCATCCCCATGATATTGAACCAATGTTTTGCCCTTCACTATTTCCACCATCAGCACAGCGTCGATTGTACCTTCTTTATTGCCTCCTCTTATATCAGCGATTAAGGCATCATTCAACTTAGTCTGGAAGAATTAGTAGTAGAACGCTCAAAGGGTTTGAACGGAACATGTACCTTGAAAGGCGCCAAGTCAGATTCAGCAAAAGTTCCAGGCAAGTTAAAGTAGAAATAAGGCGAAAAGCCATGAACGTGACAGCAGACGCTGTTCCCTTCTTTGGTTACGCCGAACATTCGAATGATTGGCACCTAAAAGGGCAGGTTTTATGCATGAAGCGCTCTAATTGGGGGCTTACATGGCCAGTTTGGGGCCCAGGCATCCCGGGGTAAACATTGCCAATATAGTGGTCCAATTCGAGCTCCTGAAAAATCAAAGTGTCCCTGTTGGGGTCGACGACACCGAGCGGGGGCCTCTGAATGCTGCTGTTCGGCCTAAAAAGCCGGAAATGCTGCAGATCGGGGCTCAGCTGATAAGGGAAACTTACTTGAACCGTTTGTAGGCCCCTGGCTGGTCTGCGGACCGGCGTTTGCTCATTTTTGTCAAGTTTTACTAAATTAATCAACTGGGAAATGTCTTTAATCTAAAACTAAGTGGGTGAGAGTTTTTTCGAGCTATTGGGAATTTCTGGGTTGCAGGCAACGGTCGAAGTGTTCAAAAGGACAGTAAAAGTTAGTAACATTCGAGGATTTAAGCAGAAAATTCTATTTCCCGCGTTCGAAGTATAACCTCTAATCTCTAATAATTTGCAGGTTAGAGCCAAGGAGTGTTCGTTAAAAGCATTGGAGCGCGATTTGGCATCGCGCTTTAGAGACTGGAGTTGATAACTTTGTTTCGCTGAAAATGACAAATTTTATTTTTCTCTAATGTGAAAAAATTGTTAATTTCGATGCCAGCAACAGACAAACCGGAAAATGACCAAAAAAGTCACTAACCGATTTTCGCTTTCCTAGTTTATTTGGCCCTCGCTTTCGCAAGAAGTAATTGTGTTCACCTATTAGATACTTACAAAGTTGCATAAGCAGAAATGTTTAGAAAAGATAAAATATTTTTTCGTATTTAAACAATTTCGTGTTGTAATTGGTAGGTGCAAAAAATGAGAAGCCGCACAGTCACGCGCCATTGAAGTTTTAACTCTAAAATCTTAGAAACCAAGACGCAAATAAAAATTTTCCAAAAGCAGTTCTTTTGTTAGAAATGACCGCAAAACGTAAAAATATTTCTTTTATTTAAACAGGAACCGCACAGTCAACGCGCCACTGACGTTTCAACATAAAAATCTCCAAAACTAAAGCCCAAATTGAAATTTCACAAGAGCTGGTTTTTTATTAGAAATAACCAGCAAACGTAAAAGTATTTTCAGCATTTAAAAACATTGTGTGGTTTCACAGACAGAAGCAAAAAATTGGGAACCCCCCCACCCCTATTTAACGCGCCACTGGCGTTGAAGTAAAAAACTATTTCAATAGTGACGTAGCTATCTATTAAAGTAGAACGTGTACAAAATTTAACGCAAATTAAATGGATAGTTAAAAAATTATCATTAAAAAACGTTTTTTTCTCAAACTTTGACACCGACAATATCTGTTAGGAAACATATTGGATGCTCTTTCACTTACTAGTACATTTAACGACTCTTAATCGGGATCACCCTGTACAAAGAAAAAATCTATTTGGACAAAACGAAAAATTTGCTCTTCCGCATTAATTTTCTTTGAATTATCAGCTGCTTGAAAATGCCCAAAAAGAGTGTAAACTTCGACTGTTTCTAATGGAAGCGAATAAAATGGCAAGTTGCTTTCGACTACAAAGTGTTTGATCAAGCAGATGCCGACTGCAACATGGCATAAAAACGGGAAAAATGTGCCGAGCGAGCAAATTAAAGCTGGCAGAATCTGAAGTTCATGAGGCGCGGCATTTGAAGAGGCCCTCGAGCTTGAAAGCATGCGGTATTCATAATGTCTAAAGGGCTAAGCCCTCAGTCTTTTTATTGTTCTAACGATGTGAAGGCACATTGACGAGTACCAGTGTGTTTTTCGCAAATCCCATTGATTCTAAGATGGTTTTGCACCATTTAATTCAGCGCTCGTTTTGTGTTTTTTTCATATCACTCGCGCTCATTCTGTATGTGGTTCATGTGAAAAATGCCGACCAACAACGCTTAAGTTTCGCTCGTAATGAAAACTTTTCCTCCCTAATTGGGGAATTGTTGGCCAGAATTTCCCGTCCAGGAAATCTAGCCGATGTAGCCCCTGGAGAAATACTCGATGTATTCAAACTTCTGAATTCTTCTCTCGGTCTGGAGAATGACACGGATGGGACTTCCGGCGGACTAAACAACGCCAAACATGTGCATATACTAGGTAAGCGCGGTTTTTAACCCCGTTTCCTTCCAGCTAATTTCCAGCCACATTTTTCTCAATTTCCTCCGATGCTGTATATTCCAGGTTTATTCGAGTTAACTACCAAATTAGGGCGGCGCTCTGGCGCGAGCGAGTTAATGGCAGCAAATCTCGCTGTACAACATGTAAACGCTCTTAATATCCTGCCTGGATACAAGCTGATTTTGCTAATTAACGACACTCAAGTAACAGGATGTAGCTTTAAAAAAAATGTTGTGGGAATGGATTTTTTCAGTGCGATCCTGGGGTGGCAGTTGATCGACTTTTCCATGCAATCTACTCGAAAATGACCGTTTTTATGCTGTTGGGATCGGGATGTTCCAATGTGAGCGAGGCTCTGGCTCAAGTAGTTCCTTATTGGAATATAATCCAAGTAGGTGCCTTTCCAGACACATTGAAAGTACCCTTTCTTTAATATAAAAACGACACTCTGTAGTAGTTGAGTGTGTTGTTGAGATAAATGAGGCAATTCTTTGGTGCTTTGCACAAACGAGGACAATCTGTTAGGGACAATGCGCCAAGGATGTCTTAGGTTTAGCCAAAGAAAACGCTTTTTTTCGGGCTTCTAGGTTTCATACGGGTCGAAATCGCCCGCATTATCCGACAGACGGAAATTTCCTCTATTCTTCCGAACAGCAGCCCCTGATTCAACACACAATATCGCCAAAGCGCGCTTTATCAAATACCACAAGTGGCAAATGGTGGCGGCTTTCAGCCAAAGCGAAAATCGCTATTTGCTCCCGATCAACCACTTAATTACCGAATTGGAAAAGGAAAATGTTACCTGCATTTCCACGGTCACTTTCTCATCTGACAACTACAAGGACCAGTTACAGTTATTAAAGGTAACTAAATGTTGAATTAAAAGTTTCTAAAAACCCTGATGAAGCTGAGTTTTATCGACTTTTTTCGAAAAAAAAAATGGAGTTATTTTTCAGAAACACGACACCCGCATTATTATAGGAAGTTTCTCAGTTGCGATGGCTCCCGGTATATTTTGCGCGGTAAGTTCCTTTGCGCGATTGAATCCGATCCAGCTAAGTGACTTACCACTAAAGGCACACGAATTGGGCATGTTCGGAGCGGAATACGTTTGGATTATTGAAAATCGTGACGTCGCCTGGTGGGAGCAAATGGTAAGCGGCTGCAGCCAATCGCAGCTTCGAGAGGCTGTAGAAGGAATTATATTGGTTGGTGACTTTGACTTGGATTATCAACGGCAATCGGTTTCACATTCCCAGGTAAGTTACGGCCAGTATAAAAGAAAAATGTGCGAATTATACGTTGGTTAGCGAAATTTTTTGTCAAAGTTATTGAATTTGTAGACATCAGTTAGGACGTTTTTTTGTCGTCAAATTAATCTACATTTGGCATTAATGATTAATTTTTAAAATTTTGCTACCAAACACTGACCTTCCACCTAAGACTACAATTCTTTATTTGCCGCGGTAAACGTTTGAAGAAAAACTAATTTTTTGCCCATTTTAAGCGAAAAAACTGGGGGAACCTTTCACTAAAGTAAACGCATTTAGGAACAAATGTGCAAAAAGCTTCCAATCTTTAGAGAGTCAATAAAAAAACAAAATCGTAACGCATTTGTTTGAAAAATTTCAGTTAAGTTCAGTTTCAGCTTGAAAATTTGGGAACTATCTAAGCAAAGGCTCATTTATTAGTCATTTCCAGTGAAAAACGGGCAGACATTGTCACTAAAGTACGAGAATTCAACAAACAAAATTGGAATCTTTTTCAAACAATAAAAATAAATTTCAGGCAACCAAACTGGCAAATTTGAGAATAATTGCAAATTTTATCGATTTAAGACGCAAAACTCTTACTAATTTAAACCAATTTTTAGCATAAAACAACCCAATTAGTTAAAAATTGCAATTATTCCCACTAATTAAACAAATCTGTAAGTTTTCGCGTATTAATTGAACTAAAAAGTGAAAAACCATTACAATTTTCGCCTATTTCTTGGTTGAAAGTTTGAGTTAACAAAAACTAATTTGTTGGTTATTTATAGTGAAAAACTGGCAGGAATTTTCACTGAAGTACAACAATTTACCAATCAAAATTGCAAAAACCTTACAATATCTGGATTTTGGCAAAATTCCCACTCAGTTGCACAAAAAAAAACATTGCATTAAGTTTCAAGCTATGGAAATAAGACATTTAAAAACGACAATTATTCCCACTAAACGAATGAATCTGTAACTCTTCGCGTATTAACTTGAGAAGCGAAGAACAACTACGATTTTTGCCCATTTCAGGTTGAAAAATTGGCAATTATTTAAATAAAAACTCATTTGTTAGTCATTTCTAGTAGAAACCCAGCAAACCCTTTCAATAAACTCAAACAAATTACGGTAAATTCCCGAATGTTTTGGTTAATTAACGCAAAACTCTAAGTCATTTAAAGAAGTTTCAGATACAGAACAACTGTGTAAATTTTTAAACTTGTAACTCGAAAACCAAAGAAAAACTAGAATTTCGATCCATATCGCTGTTACTTACCATTTAAGTCATTTTTGGCCATTTATAGTGAAAACTCAGCAGAAACTTCCACTAAACTCGAACAAATAGCTGAATGTTTAGGTAAATTCACGCAAAACTGAGAGTAATTTGAAGAAATGTATAACGATGACTGGAGGTAAAGAAACCAGAAAAATAATTATTCCCACTAATTAGACGAAAGTTTATCCTTTTAGTAATCAGAGCTCAAAAATTTGGAAAATATTGCAATAATTTTAGCTTAAGCTTCTTAGGCTCTTTTAAGTGAAACAAAAGGCATTTTTCAGGTCAAAGTACAAAAATTTCCCAAACAAATCTTCCAAAGCAAAAACTTCCTAATCAGTTGCAGGAATAAGTCCAATAAGTTTCAAACCGTGGAAATAAATTATTTAACAATCACAATTACTCTCACTAACTGGACAATTCTCTACTTCAAGAAGCAAAAACCAGAAAATTAAATAAAAATTACAAATTTCATCGATCACGCAAAAATTGTATTAATTTTAATGAGTTTGCAGCGACACCTTAAAACATCCCAAATAGCGAAAAATGGGAATTATTCCCATTAGTCTTCAAATAAGCGCGTATTAACTTGAAAACCGAAAAACAATTGCATTTTTTGTCTATTTTAGAATGAAAATATGACAATTACTTAAGTAAAAACTCATTGTTCATGCGCTTTTTAGTGCGGTTTTTCTACAAATAATTGAATATTTAGGCAAATGAACGCAAAACGCTAAGTAAAACAGCTTCAAACATCCGAAATAGTTAAAATATGACAATTATTCCCACTAAATAGGCAGACGATTATCACTGTAGCCATCAAGGCTAGAAAACTTGAAAAATATTGCGACAATTTAGGCTATGGCGTCTAAGTCTCATTTAAGCGAAACATGACAAATACTAACGAAGAGTTTGTCGTGTTCAAAAATCGCACATGAAAGGGAATTTTTTCGCGGCTTAAGTGGACAGATAATTTTTTGAAATAAGACAAATCTACTGCTTTTAGGAATGTTTTCCGGGCTTTGAAGCCGTGGTCTATGGGAATTTCTTCCTGACGTTTCGTCCACAACTGTGGTGGACATTATCAAAGGCAATGAGGCAGTGGGCGAAGTGATCTCCCGTGCTTTCCGACTAAGATTCAACTGCTGGTCGTATGTCGTATTTATGCAGCCCAGCCATGTGTGCTCATGCGTGGGGGGATGGGTGGGGGTTCAAACGCTTCGGCGCACATGCTGTTTGGCGCAAAACGCGCTTCCAATCTGGATTGGGTGCCGTAATTTCTTCTTTTCTGTTTGAAGTTGTTTTGGTGTTTAAATATTTTGATGGCCTCTCTGGTGAGTCTCGGGTAGTATCTTTCGGATTGGTGCAGAATGTCCACTTCGTCTGATAAATCTACTGCTTTTGGCTAATTAAACTAATACATACTAAATTAAATTATTTGTCCGCCTAAGCCGCGAAGAAATTCCTTTCATGACAAATACTGTTACTTATTTAGTACTTCGAAACAGACATTTGAAACTTTTCGTCGAAAAAAGTGAACAAATACAAAACAACTATTCCCACCAAATTATAGTCGAGCCTTTCCTGTTAAAACCAGTGCTTCTCCTTATCGGCTAAACTTTATTAATACTTTTAAAAGTCTGTGGAATAATGAAAAATTCAGGGAATTATTTACAGAATATAGAAGACAAATCAGCAATTCCTGTTGGGAGAATGTCGAAATATGCTAAGCAATCGTACGACGCTATTTGGGCCATGTCCCTATCATTAGCAGCGAGCAATATCGGCTCCTTCGAACAGTTCAGCTATTCAAATCGTCAAGTTGGGCGCAGTTTCTTTGAAACTATGAGAAAGCTAAAATTCGTCGGATTGTCGGTGCATATTTAACAGCGGCCAACTTCGAAAACTTGTTAACTCACTTTGTTTCAGGGCCCAATCAGATTCGAAGGAGCTGACCGAGTGGGCGATCTGGTTGTTAGTCAAATTCAAGGTAAATATGGACTTTTTCGTACCCCAATTTAAAGTTTCCTACTCCAACTGCAGGTGGGCGAGTTGCAGACGTTCTTTTCTACGATTCGATTCAAGACACTTTGGAGTCCAACTGCGTGTTCTGCAGGAAAATTCGATGGCAAAACGATCGAGTTCCCATCGCTAAAAGAATCTTCAAGACCACACAAGGTAGTAAACGATAGTCAAACAACGCCTGATTCTAATGGCCGAATATTTCTAGTAACGATACCAAAAGTATTGTTTTCCCTGACTACTGGAATATCAGTTTCCGGTATCATTTGCTCGTTAGTGTTCCTCTATTTTAATGCGAAATTCCGACAGATGAAGACAATAAAGGTAGGCCTGATCAAGACTTAACTACGTCATTATCACCGGGAAACTTTTAATGGCAATGAGAAACTTTGTTTTTAACACAACCCTCCCCGTCTCATTTAAAAGTTTCCCTTGCACTTTACAGCTTTCCAGCCCCAATCTAAACAACCTGACAGTGACTGGATGCATTTTGGTCTACGTATCGGTGATTTTATTTGGTCTACACAGCGTAAATTGGTTTAGTGACCTGTGCTCGGTAAGTTTATTAAATCCACGAATTTTTTGCGTGGTTATTCATGTTTCCTCTGCCCGATTTTACAAAAACACAGCTGGTGGACTCGTTTCATTAGAGCCGCACTCTACTCATAACAGTCAATCTTCAACACAAACACTGCACGAACGGGGCAAATAATGTTGGAATGAAAATTCTAGCTCCTCACTTTGGCATTTTCCTAATAAACGCTCGTCAAATAGCTACATGCATCAACATACAATTTCCTGCATTAAATTCACAAAAAATACAAGTTTCTGGTTTAAATAAAATCGATTTGCTGTTAATAGTTCATGTGTGTGAAACAAGCAAACAAAGCTTTGACGATTTTAGACAGTACTAAAGTACAAAATAATGAGCCTGAATTTTTTAAAATTAAACCCACATTAATTAGGAAAGCTCTTGTTTGTTTGCCTGGAATTTGTGGAAAAACTTTCCCATTTTTGGTATGAAATATACTGAAAATTTCTGGTTATACACCATTGCGTTTGGACCCTGAAAAGCATAATTAAAGGCTTTAAAATATATTTTTCAAAAAAGGAAGAAAGCTTTAACTTTACACTTGTCGACAAGGGAAAATTTTTAATTATTGTTTACTATTTCAACGATTTTTGAAAATTTTCAAAGTTGGAAAACTCCCATCTCTCATCAGTCTGACTGTACTGATAATATTTTAATTTCGCTATATTCACTGATTTATTTGACGCCTAAGCAAAAACACTTGAAATCACGCTTTGCCAGTCCACTGGAATCAAATTCATTTAATTTTTAATTAGATTCGACCGGAAAAGTTTAGTGTGGCAGACTTTCAATAACAATCCACTTTGGTCTGCACTTTCCTCTTTTCAGCACAATAGTTTCGTTCGTTTCCCAATTAACAAACCATAAAAGTTAAATTAAATAATTTTATTTATATACGCATACTCGCGCTTTCATTCAAAATGTCTTTCAACTCACGATAAGATCCGAAAATAACTGCGGCGGGCAGAAAGCAACAAACATTTTGCATTAAAAAATGTGAGGCTTTAGGCTCGTTCTGTTCGTTAACTTTCCAATCACTGCGGAACAGTTGCCCTACAAAGCCATACAAACAAAATAATTCAATTTCCTACACCCTCATTCTTTTAGCCAGTCAAAATGCAACTGTGTAACTGTAAGATGACTCGATTTTATTTCGTTTGTTCTGTTTGTAGACGTTGTTAATTTGCTCGCAAAACAAAAATTTCTCAAAACCATCGAATTTTCCAAGAAAATTTTCCTCGACTCTCTAAAATTTCACAAAAATAACTGAAGCAGAGCCAAACAAACATCTAGCGAAGGAAAACTTGAGTTTTTCAGTTTGATTCTGCTCGTTCGCTCAAATCTCACAAACTTTTCAGTCAATTTATTTCGGAAAGCATACTGAAAAATCATCAAATTCTCCATATAAACTAGTAGCATTCGAGAACGTCATTTATTTGCTCGAAATAATGAAAGTGCCTTTAATTTTTCATGCAGATTGTCTTTAAGCTCAGTAAAAGGTTCGTTCTGTTTGACCAAGTCGTTCTTTGGTCGAAAGTTTGCTATCTTTTCAACGATGGTGAAACATTTTGAATGCGTGTAAAAAAGTAGTGTAATTTTCATCTCAATTCATGCCCCAACTGGCTATAGGGCCTATAAAAATTGCTCAGGTTTTACCGCTGATTCTGTTCGAAAACGTCGTTCATTTGCTCCAAACTCGAAAATTCTATCAAACCTATTCAACCTTCCATGCAGAACTTTTGCCAGCGTGCTTAAAGGGCCCTAAAAAATCAAGCAAACATCCGATTGAAGAAAACTTGAGACGTTAAGGTACGTTCTGCTCCGAGTGATCCTTCGTTGCTCACAACCTCGCAAAGTTGTCAATTCATTTTCGAAATTTTCTCATTAACAGTCTCAAAAATAATTTCCGACACATTTCATGTCCATCGGTAAAACCTCCAAATAAAATTACTAGAATTTTGGCGCTCGTTCTGTTCGTAAACGTGGTTCATTCGTTCAAAACGTTAAAAGTTTATCCGAGGCAAGCAAACATACGAAACAAGAATTTTTTTTGCCTAAGATTCCTTCTGTTCGAGTGCGTTATTCGTTGATTTTTCCAAGTAATACTCAAAATTTTTATTAACGCTTATTAAGCTTAAGGCTGTTTTTTCAGGTAAAAGTGGACGTAAAAGAGACTAAAAAGAAGAGATTCTGATTCGCATTCCTCTTCAAACTCAGTCAAAACATCTCAGTTGAAACCACCAGAATTCATAAAAGCAAAACTCTCGAAATCATATTTTTTCCATTTCCAACTTCAAAAGTCCTATCATTCATTAGTGTTAAATTGGCAAACTTCTCCCGAATTGAATCCCTTGATGTTTAAATGAAATTCAGTTCAAATCATCATGCAGTTTGAGTGAAAAGTGCCTTTGAAAATTCCCATCCTTCATCAGTCTGGATCGTTTTAAACAATTAATTTGCTTCGTTTTCACTCGCTCTTTAAAAATTAGCCACTGTTTTAGAGTTTAACAGGCATTTCCTGAAAGTTAAGCATTTTAACTGCCGCTGGAAATGCAGAAAGCGATCTATTTTTCGCTTTTGTCACTTTTTCAGTGGCTTTCCCCGACTAAAAAGTTGATCTTCAAATTCAACAAGGAAACATCTTAAAAGCAGCTCCTTTATCTGTGAAAAAAGCCATAAAACACCTAAAAAAAAATGTTGAACTCTTAAAAGATTGACGAAAGTGAACGAAACCGATTGATTACAAACTAAATTCTCAAACATTCGCATCCAAAGTCAATCAGAATATTTCATTTGAATCCACTAGAATTCATAAAATCATAGCATCTTCATTTACAACTTGGAGAAATTTTCGCCCGAAGCCCGAAATTGAGACAATCCTCCCATTTATTCCAGGCCAGGATTTTTCTCCTATCTGCCGGCTGTTCGCTAACATTCGGCTCAATTTTCGCCAAATCCTACAGAGTGCATCGGCTGTTCACTTACACTTCAGCCGGTTTGGTGAAGAACAAACTTCTCAAAGATCAGCAACTGATCGGCCTGATTCTGATCCCCATTGCGATTGATTTTTTTATCGTGGCTCTCTGGTCCTCTGTGGATCCGCTCATTAAGCAGCCGCACGACTTGAAGCTGCAGATCAGCGCGGAGGATCGCCGGATTGTCTATCAGCCTCAGGTGGGTTGAAAACCGGATTTTCTACGCGCAGTAATTGGTTGTTGTAGATCCAGATTTGTCAATGTCGCAACACTATTGGCTGGCACGTGGCTCTGTTCGGCTACAAGTCCATTCTGCTCGTCATGGGCGTTTGCATGGCGTGGAAAACCCGCCATGTAGAAATAGCAGCTTTAAACGACTCCCAATTCATCGGCATTTGCGTCTACAGCGCAATTTTCTCCACAATTATTGTGATAGCTTTCAGCTTCGTAACTGAGTACTTTGTACTCAGCTACGTGGCCAAATCAGCTAGTATCCTGGCGTCGACCACCATCACGCTGGTGCTGATGTTGCTGCCCAGGCTCAAGTCAGTATTTGCTCAGACTGATGCAGAGCTGAGCCTGATGGAGAGCTTGGGGCTGAAAATCCAGTCAAACACTCGACGGTTTATCTACGACGACCCAAAAGAACTACTATCCCGACTGGAAATTCAGAACAAAGTCTACCAATCCAGGCTGGAGTTTCTGGACAGGGAAATAGTGCGCTTGGAGGAGATTTTGGAGCATTCGCATCCCAGCTCTAATTGCTCCAGCATTAACGCCATCCAGGTTATTCCAGAAATTCACGTACTGAAGGTTCCCAGAGCTTCCTGGCCCACTTGGCACAATCAACCCATCAAAACTTTCTCATCGGAAAACCGGCTAAATAATGAAAGAAGCGGCGATAGGACGACGAAGTTTTACGGCAAAATTAAGAAGTTTTTTGGCGGCTCTGGGAAAACCAGTGGGGAAAAGCTGCAGCTGGGCTCAAACCCAGAAATTTCCCATTTGGCCCCATGCAGGGAGACTGTGGGGAACATAAACTCGAAGAGTTCCATTAGAAGCTCATATTAATTAACAGCTAGGGGATTTGATTAGGTAGATAGACAAGAGATTGTTATGAAAAAACTGCTCGCGCCTCTGGAGAATGCAGCAGGTTAATCATCTGGTAACAGTGGCCAAATAAATAAACATCTAAAAATGTCTTCACTTTTTTCGCTTCATCAAGCAATTGCCCGCATCCCACTCCGTCTAGTTGGAGATTTCCGGAAACAAACTAGCTTGTTTACATCTGGATGCTTCCCTGCACGTAACACGGGCAAATAATTAGGAAAAACTGTTCCAGCACTAGACTTTTATCGGTTGCAGTTTCCATTCCACTTGCTCAAAATGCCGCCTGGAAACTTTTAAGTGTTGCCAAAATTGGATGTTATTCCAGTTTAGAGTAGTTTCCATAACACCATAAAAAGGACGTGAATGAAGGAAATTAGGATCAGACTAGGGCTTTGTGTCCTTTTGTAGTTAAACATCCATTCCATTCATTGTGCTGGAACTGCATGGAGTTTGAGATCGATCGCATCAAAGCTTCCATTTTACTGGGCAAAAGTTAAATTTTAAAGCTGGGATACACGAAAATGAATAACTAACTGATGAAACCGAATGAAACTTCTGCGCTATCCGCATTGAAAAGTTCTGGGCGAATGCCGTTTTAGAGACTTGGTCAATATTTACGAACAGCATAACTTTCCTTCTGTAATGGAAAAGTACATTTAAAATAAATATGATGGTTTTTCCGAGCTTTAATGGAAAATATCCCCGACATACACTTCGCATTTTTTAAATTTTAAAACCTCTCATCCAGATAAATTCCCGCATGATTTATAGCAGTCATTGAAAGTGGTTTCTTCTAAAAAACGCTCAAGACTTTCACAGCGAAAAAAGCTTTCTGGACAACAATAAATCAAGTGAAAGTTGCACTTTAAAGCAACAATGCGCCATTTTGGCCCGGCTGGAATGTTATTAAATCCTCAACATATTTTCCTTAGTTATGCAATCGACTACATTCAGCTGGTATCTGTATCCATCTACGAGCCAAACATGAATAAAACATGGACAAGAGATGCAACAGTCAGACGCACCGAAATGCGCCCGAAAGAGAAGGCAAAACTTTGGAAAATTTGTCCAGTGTTTGGCGCGCGGCTGCTTTGAACTGTTCCAGGAAACTTTCCTGGAGCGCATTTGCTCGAAGAGTTTCTCCGACTATTCCACCGAAAAACAAATTAATGAAAGTGCAATAAAACATTATTCCAAGTTTCTCCTTAGTGAGTGAAATGAGATGCTTATCAGTCTCTTTCCTGGAAAAACCGCCAGCTTAACAGGAAACTTTCCGCAAAGTCGCACAGGAAAATGATAGTGCTCTCTGAGAATGGATACGTTGCTCCTGTAGAAAATATAAGCGAACTTCAGACTTTGTAAGTAGTTTTTAATGCATTCATGTCCCTTGTGCAGCTCTTTTAGGGAGTTTTGCTTGTTTATTTTATCAATTATTTAGTTGTACTCAAAATGTTCCAAAGTGACTTTGCGTTAACTGATAAATAACTGGGTATTTTTCGGTTATTAGCCCCTAGTGGATAGCAATTTTCTTGATGTTTCCAGCCAATATGATGCATGGAAGTATTCTTTAGTTACGTGCAAGATAGACTCGAAAAATCCCCGGTCGAATCAAAAACACCTTCATAGTAGGCCCAAACATTAAAATTGCCTGGTGGTCGTCAGGCTTATGAGCCACATTTCGTCGGTTATACACCAATATGCTCAATACAAAATTTGACTTTTTACTCACTTTTCATATTTTTTATAATCATTTTTCAATTTTTGTCTCGTTAAAACTGATCCTTTTGTTCGCCTATCATTTTAACCATGTAATGTTATCCACTTAGCGACAATTTCCCACAGAAAGCTGAAAGTGATTTTAAATTGAGCACCCGGTTAATCTTGTTAACCTGATAGTTGAAAAACCCCGAATTTTGAATGCCGGTGCCATTGAAAGCCAACCGGTTGGAAAATTGCTCGCTTTGACCTGAGAAATGCGCTCGAAATCTCACACTTGGATTGCGTCAAAGTGAAACTCTGGAATTTATTGCCATTGAAAACGGATTTTTATCGACGAAAAGGAGACAACACGAAACTAATCTGACGCAAGATCGTTTAATTGCTATTTGAGTCAATGGAATAGAGATTTTGATTTGAAAACTCAACTCGAGTTTACACACTTTTACAAGTCACAAAGGGCAAATAAACAAGCAATTCTCTATTAAGCTTAACAGATCACGTCTTAATAAAGCCGCGGTTCGCTTAAGTAATGCAATCCAGAAAAAACGTGCTTTGCATATTTAAGCAAGCGCCACGCACTAGCAATAAGTCAGTTATTATTTTCTAATCATCCTCCTTAGTATTCCGGCATGGGTTCTATCCTCTAATTTATTCGGGCAAAGATCGTGAATTTCACGTAAATTTTATTTTTTCCCAATTAAACGAAATTAATACAAAATTTTTGGTTGCATAATTGACATTGAATTGCAAAAAATCGCCCTTAGGAGCGGGTTCTCACATAACAAAACCGAAGTTTATTCCTCCGTGGAGAAAACATGCGGAGCACGTAAAATGGCTTTCAATAAATATGAACTAAAAGGCAAAAAATGCGATTATTGAAATACTTTCAACGTATTTTTCAGTCGAACAAAATAAACCGAATGTCTTCTTCGGTTACGCAACGGGAAATTTCGGCCGCATATTCGATTTGCGCAGATTTTTAGCCAAAATATATTCAATTCAATTCAGGCGTCGGATGAATGTTCAATAAACGTCCTTCGTGAAATAAATAAATTGCAAACCACAATTGGAAAACCAGTTCGCAATGAATAAAACGAAAACATTTGCAAGCATTGCAAAAAGACGAAAAGTCCATTTAAAGCATATTAATTTTGCGGGAAAATTCCAGAGGTTGTTTGCTTGTTTTATAACCAAATCAGTTAGATAAAGCCCTAAAAGCATGTTAAAGGAGAGAAAGGAGAAATAAAGTGAGAGTTAAGCTTTTACAGCCGTTGCGTGAAACTCGGGATTATTTCGTGCTTTTATGCCGCCGCGCAGTTCCTTCCTCAGAAGATGCGAGAAAAGTTTTTTTACGGCGAAAAAAGCACGAAAAAATCATAATTTCCTTAGGTTTTTTAGTTTGAAACTTCGAGCTTGCGGAGCGTCAGGAAGAAATTATTATACACGAATGTTTGAAAGCCCGAAAAAGCCACCAGTTTCTGAAAAAAAGTACTATTGAGAAAAATAGTCTATAATAGAGCAAAATCTCTTATTTCCATCGCTAAGAAGCGACGAATGCAACGAGCGATTTAAAAGCTTGCCAGACCTTTTTGATCCGAAGTTATCGAATGTTTTCGCCCCTTTAGTACGATTGAGTGATCTCGACGATATTTTCTCTATTATATAGACTCTCTTTTTCCATAGAAAGACGCCAGCATAAAATGATGATTTTTGACCAAAAAACAAATTTTTTCGGAAAAACTCGAATCGCTCGAATTCCCTCAAATTTTAAAGAGGGAAACGTACAGGCATTTAAAAATGTTTCTGCGAATTATTCATTTTGTTCCAGAAGCGTACAAATTTGGGCACAATAATTTCCCAGCAGGCTCTAAGTTTGAACGCTACTGAAAAAAAATGAAAACTTGAGACCAGATTTTTAAAAGCATTTGAATTCAACGCAAGAAAGGTACAATGAGTAAAAACCGCATAGAAAGCAATGGCATTTATACATGCTTTTTGAATCGTAAATTTTTTCCTAAAGTGTAGAAGTTTGGGCACAGTAATTTCCTAGCAGGCTCTAAGTTTGTACGCTACTGAAAGAAAAATGAAAACTTGAGACCAGATTTTTAAAAGCATTTCAATTCTACACCGAAAAGGTACAATGAGTAAAAACCGCATAGAAAGCAATTGCTTTTATACATGCTTTTTGAATCGTAATTTTTTTTCAGAGGTGTAGAAGGTTGGCCGCAATAATTGTCCTAAATAATTGCACTTAAATCTTGAGTTCACTGGAATTATTGTGCTTCATTGTTCTATGCTACTGGAAAAATTGGAAATTTGAGAACAGATTTTCAAAGGCATTTGAAAAAAAAACAAAAAATTACGTCGAGTGAACAGTTTATAGAAACCAATGGCATGCACTTGGCCCTCAGCCCAGTATGAAAATATTAAAATATTCAACACTCAATAAGCCAGAGACGCTCGACTTGTCTTAACGAAAGCTGATTTTCGTCGATTATTGTACAGATCCTCAATTAAACTGCCAATATTTCGTAAATCCCTTATCGAATTGGCATTGGAACAGAATTGATGTAACGGTAATGGGCTGCTGCTATAAAGGGTTAGCGGCTCGAAGGCAATCGAACTGAAATTATCGAGAGTTAATGGGCTGTTAATTGTTACGTAGACATTTGCCTCAAATACATACTCTAATTAATTTAATGATCGACAGACAATTAATTCAATGCGATTTAATTGCGTATTAAAACAACCAGAAGCGTTTAGACATTGGGTTTTTTCTTGACTATTCCATTTGAATCGAATTTTGCAATATTTTATCGCCGTTGAAATGAATGCATGCACAGAACGGCATTCAGAGCATCTGCTAAACTGTACGATTTATTAACGGCGATTTTTCCGTTTGAGTGAACCTATTTGGGAATTTCTATGCAAATCGTTTAGTCGCAATTTTAGGAATTCTTTAAATCCTCCGGGATTTTTTGGGCTAAAAACTCCTTAATCCGGCCTGTATATTCGTCAGTCATCAACAGGATTGCTAAAATTTTCTATTAACTTTTTTATTAATTATTCACTGTTTCATTGCATTTTTCCCAGATCCAGTTTTCCAATAACTCCAGGTTGATTTTGATTGTTCACTTTCACAATTCAAAGCAGAAACTGTTTGCTTATAGTGCAGCAACCACTAAATCCTTGTTTCAGTCAATGCTTTAATCACTTAACTCTTTTCATCACTTTCTCATCAAGCACTTTTCCTCCTGCGTTTCTTCGCTAAAAATCACATTTTCTCCTGCTTTTGCGACATTGTAGTCGCGGYTTTAACTCCATTTTTCGATTAACTTTTTTACTTTCTTTGTTAGTGCAAGTTCAGCTTACAAATTGGCGAGCTTTTGACGGTAATAAAAATCACTTTTTCATGCTTTTAAAACAAATAATTATATTATTAAAGGATAATGCAAGTTGCGGCCCGGCCTCCCGCATTTTTGCTCGTGATTGGTTAAATGCAAAATCAATGAAGGTCGACAGGTGATTAATCCGGCTTTCCTGCTGGCCAGTGTGACTCGTTTTGCATTTCTCAGACGCTCCACCCGCGCTTTATCTAATCGGATAATTGTGTCTCTTAAGAAGCAGAAAATTATCGATTTTAGATCGAGAACTTGACGAACAGAAGAGTCTGTTGCTTTCTAAATTTGTGATTTATTTATCAAAATCGAGCACCTTTTGCGTCAGAGGCAAAATCAGTCCCCACAAAAAAATAAACCTCTGGTCCTTTCATCAACTTATGGAACATGTTTCGGGATACTAAAGCCAACAATTCAGATAGCCGAATTCAGGAAGCTCCGGATAAAAAATTCAAAAACCTTGGAAAGTTTCAACATTAAAGTTTCCTGCTGCATCAAACTCACAAGAAAATATGAAAGTTCCAAACTTGATCCGAACCCTTTTGAACGGGGCAATGATTAGAACGCAAGACACCGCATTTGTTACCAGAAAACTCTTCTCTAAAGCAACTCTTTATATCGAAAAGCTCTTTTATTGCGTTTAAAAATCGATCTTGAGCTGAAAAAACCACGCACGCTAATTAAATTGAAAAATTGAATATCTAATAAGGCAGCGATTTTAATTTAGTTGCCAATCGACTTGAATTTCCGACTAGTGCCAAGAAAAATTAGATTAAAATTAAAGGATCCGGATTAATAATCTCTAATGAAGTTTATTTTAAAGCAACACTAATTGAAAATTTGTGAAAGCAGATTTTCCAAGTAGCGTTCGATTCGAGGAAACTTTCCGATTCGTCTCATTAACTCTGCTTATGGGTTTCGATGCGAATACTTCCAGTGCTAATTGAGTTCGTTCAAGAAAAATCCTTAAAAGTTAAAACAATGACAAAGTTGTACAAATGGAAATTAATATATGCATTTTCCGGGTGCTTTTAATTAGGAAAAGTCCATTAAAATGACTCCATTGTCGCGGCAAAATAACGCCAACTGCAAATCTCATTTTGTAGCCGTGAACAGGAAATGAAAGAAACACATTCCAACTAATTAATAATACCATGCAGATACAAAGGTTAATAAAATCACAACAAACGCAAATCGGAGTGTTTATCGCGATAAATACTTGGTCGTAAAACGAGCATTATTTGCCGAAGATAAACCAGATTTTATCTGGCGTGGTTCTATTTGACTTCATAAATATAGACTGTTTTAATTCTGAAAAAAAAATTGCATTTCAAATGAGTTATTGCGGGTAATTTACGATGTCGGATTAGCTCCTAACCAGGATGTTTGTTTGCGAAAATTTCCAATAACATTTTTAATTCCAATTTCCGATTGTTCCATTAAAAATTCGAGCCTTCCTAAGCCGGTTTACCTCTTGATGCTGCTAAATGCCATTTTGCCAGATAATCGTCCGAAATTTAATGCAATTGACGATAAATCTTCAGCAGTATTACAGTTACAGTGAGGCTGGCTGGGAGATTTCAATTAACCAAGAGCTCAAATGCCTCACAGTTGAACACTCGACACTGTTGGGCTTAAAACTGAACCTTACACCTCTACCAGATAAATAGCCGGGCCTCATTAAGAAGATTTGTATTCTAATTACCACCTTGTCAACAGAGAATGGACGGTTTAAACTTACAGCCTCTCTAAAAGCTGTTGTAAAAACCGGGGAAAAAATATTGAACTTTGCCCAAACCGCAGCAGGCAACGCTAAAGAAAAGCAACCAAACAAACATGATTATCCAGCAAAGTAGCGAAGCTGAGCACCAAATTCGAATAATAAATATTGACATCGACAAAGAAACGACCCAAATCCCATGTGTGTGCCCAAAAAGGGATGGAAGAAAGCCGCTTTTATTCTTAATTGAATTCATTATTTAGCTTCCATTCCGTTCTTCGAATGGATGTCTTCTACATGTCTAAGATGGGGATTTGCCGCATGAAACGCGAAATCAAAGAGCAGGCCGACCAATACCGGTAAGGGAGGAAAAATCGCTTTTTTCTCAAGGATTGAGGGCCAAACAACCCAAATTAATTAAGCTCTACTTGAGATATGGATATGGCAAAGTAACGGACAGATGAAATAAGGGCAACCCTAGCTGGGCTCAGCCAAATGAAAACATCATTTCCTAAGCCTCATGTTACTTGCTAAACACGTGTCTGAACTAGGGAATTAGGGAATATATTTGCAAAAACGTACACAAAGAATATCGTTTAAGTTGGTAAAAATGCTATTTTAACACTTGATTTGTTGGAAACTTTATACGATTAAATGCCCTCCCATTAAACTGGCCATAAAATATGATAATTTTACCAGAGGCTTCCAAAACCGTGTTTTGCAAATGTATGCCTTTAAAATGCTGAAAAAATGTGAGTTTTTCGCAGGAAAGAACCCCAGTACTCGAGATTTAAAAAACCGCCACATCTCCAGACTCACAACATGTCTCAGGAACATTTCGCGGACAAAAACTTAGTTTGTTTTTAGCCCTGGTAAATTGCCAATGATCTCTGCTTTACGATTAGAAGAACAATTATGTCTGTAGTGCGTTAATAGATAAGTTAAACACATTTTTCTGTTGTAAATGGGACTTAACGCTAAATCCAGCAAGATTTCGATTAAAATGTGTTAGCTGAGTGCTGTGAGAAGGTTTTGATGCTCAAAATTTGCAAGTGAAATGCGGCTTTTGCTTGCTTGAAAAAAAACTCGACAAATTTCCGGTTTTAGTGTAAGTGTTCAACGATCTTCTTAAGTTGCTGGCATGGTTGGGTTGATTCTCCAACGGGATTTGAACCAATATAAATATAAAATTGACCCATATTTATTTAAACTTCGTGAGGGCATTAATCCTGCGGATGCCTGCATAAATAAAGCCAAACTTACGCAACTTCAAAATCACGTTTTGTTTCTACCTAATGGTCTGTGATTTCAAGCCATGTAAAAACAAAGGTCTGTTTTTAAAATTGCCGGCGTTTTGCCATATTTATTTGGCCATCCTCAGGGCATACGTCGCATTGAGGATGCCTAAATCATCATAAAAAAACGACGAATAGCCGGCGTTTTGAAAAACGGAATTTTGGCAGAAAACTTCTTCAACTGTTTCGCCTTATTTATGTAGAAATCCGCAGGATCAACATCTTGAGGATGTTGATGATGCTCAATTAATTCGATTCATGAGCTTTCCAATGCCTCAAACATGTTCTTTCGATTTTTTTTTCAAGCCAACGGAATCCAACTGAATAAACTCGAAAAACTCTACTAAAACTACTGTTTAGTTTACAATTTAAACCAGAATTTTCTGTTTGCGTTCAGCGCTTATTCTCGCCGCCTGTAGATTTCAGTTTGCACAAGTTAATGCTCACATTTGGACTCTTAAGTGAGCGATTTTGGATAAAACAACTGTACTAATGGAAAAAACGAAGTTTTAATTACATAACACAGTAAATGAGTTTAAATTAAACTGAGTGAATTGATGCCTTGTGACCTCCCTTTGTCCCTTTATTGGACAAATTGGGGTTTTTTTATGTAGAGCTTCAAAGCGCTTTAGGATTTCTAGTCAAACGAATCCCTAGAGCTTTTTAGTAAATAAATGTCGATCAAATTGATTGTTAAATTTCCGATTTGCTGCTGAAATTGCCGGCATTCAGTTGAGCGCAATATGAGTAAATTTGCATCCAATAGATCAAACCCATGCTCGCCCAACTAATTATCTGGAAGCATTCAAATCAATCAAATTGATTTAACGTGTCCAGTTTGGGATGGATAATTTGATTGACAGAATTAACGTTTGATTTTTTTCCATTGATTTCCAGAAAAGGCGCTGAACTAGACAGATTCGATATGAATTCATGTGCGGAGATTGAGATGAACCGCACCAATGTGTCTTTGGACCCTTGGAATTATATCGCATGCTTTTATGGGCCTCAGATGCAAGATCTTCAGATGACCCTTTTAATAACCAGTAAGTCGTGTCAAAGCCAATGGCGATTATTTGGATTAAAGCGAGCATTTTTTTAAATTTCAGTAATAAATGGAATAATATTTGTGACTGGAGTGTTGGGAAATATCGCCGTCTGTATCGTGATAATCAAACAGCCCATCCTGCATACAGCCACCAACTACTACTTGTTCAATCTGGCTGTTTCGGATGTGACGCTGCTGATTTTCGGTAAGGATCCTTCGTAAGCTTGTCGTTTAATTTCACTGCCAATAACTTCTGTGTTCGTCGTTCGGAAACCTTCTAAAACCGTATCAGGGCTGCCATATTAAGGAACAGCATCGTAACGTTTTTGTTGCTATGTAACATTCTGTAGCGACATTTTATTTACATTTGCCCATAAAAACGCTTTGTTGTCTTATAAAGATGATTGGGTTTTATATTTATGTCGGTTGTCCTGGGCCGCCGTCGTTTTTCGCCATCCATTTCCAATATCATGCACTTTATGGAAATGCATTTCCATGCAAAGCTGCTCAGAGCGTTTACTTGCTGATGCATGTAGAAATCCTGAAATCCGAATCTTCCCAACTAAAGCAAGTAGCAATTGAACATTTTTGCCACAGTAAGAATAGGCTTGATTATACAGATGCAAGTTTCAAGTTTCAAGTTCAACGTGAAATCGTGATTGATGCGAGCTTAAAGTTGGTGTTAAAATGGATGCTTTTACTCAACGGCGCTCTCTTTGAAAATGTGTATCTTTTAAACTGAAATGTGCAGCGAAGCGAAATTGTCACCATCTATAGCAGACACGTGTCTCTATGAATTCTAAAAATCTCGCAAAAATCATTAGTGTTCTGAGTTATTGCCAGCTTAGCAAATATCAGTCTCAAGATGTGCGATTTTTACTCAACTGCACTCTTTTCGATAAAAAATCGCATCTTTCTAACTAACGCAACGAGAAATTTGACTTTCGCCAGCTTTCAAAGACGCTTGATTCTAACATGCGAAAAGTGTCGTCAACATTGCGCCAAATCCTAACTGATGCGAGCTTAGTAAATATCGGCCTTAAAACCGGTGCTTTCACTCAATGGCGCTCTCTTCTTTAATAATTTGCATCTTTAAAACTAAAATATGCTGCAAGTTCAGATTGTCACCATCTCTAACAGGCACTTCATTCTACAGATGCTGAGATTTTGATAAACATTTCCGGGATTCTGGATTATTTCCAGCTTAGTAAATATCGGTCTCAAAATGTACGTTTACTGCTCAACTGCACTCGTTTTGATAAAAATTTGCATCTTTCAATCTAAAGCGAGCAGCGATTTAAAATTTTCTCTCTGATTTGTAAACAAGAGGCTTTGAAGATTCTGGAAGTTTCATATAAATCGCCCTAAATTCTGATTTTTTGAGCTTCGAAAATCTTGGTCTCAAAATCGGCGCTTTAACTCAACGGAGCTCTTTTATTTAAAAATTTGTATCTTTCAAACTAAAGCAAGTAGCGATTTACATTTTTCTTTCTGATTTGCAGACAGAAGGCTTTAAAGATACTGAAACTTTCATATCAATCACCCTGAATATCGATTTTTTCGAGCTTAAAAAGTCTTAAAATCGGAGCTATTACACAATGGCACTCCCTTCTCTAAAAATTTGCATCTTTCAAACTAAAGTAAGTAGCGACTTGAAATTTTGACTTTGATTTGTAAACAAGAGCCTTTAAAGATACTGAAAGCTTCATATAAATCTCCCCGAATCCTGGTATTTGTAACCTTAGAAAATATCGGTCTTAAAATCGGCGCTTTAACTCGACGGCGCGCCGTTGTGTTAAAGAGAGATTTTACATTTTGAATTTTAAATTCTTAAAGAGAGCGCCGCGGAGCTTTCTTCTTTAAAAATTTGCATTTTCCAAACTAATGCAAGCAGCGATTTGAAATTTTCGCCCTGATTTACAAACAGGAGGCTTTAAAGATACTGAAACGTTCATATCAATCACCCTGAATCCCGATTTTTTCGAGTTCGAGTAAAATGTTTTAAAATCGGCGCTTTTACTCAATGGTGCTCTCTTTTTAAAAACTTGTACTTCCAAAATAATGCAAGTAGCGATTTGGATTACTGAAAGTTTCATATAATTGGTCATGAATCTTGATTTTTCCGAGCTGAGTAAAAATCGGTCTTAAAATCGGCGCTTTTACCCAACGGCGCTTTCTTCTTTAAACACTTGTATCTTCCAAATTAATGCATGCACTTTTTCTTTGATTTGCAAACAGGAGGTCTTAAAAATACTGAAAGTTTCATATAAATCGCCTTAAATCTCAATTTTTGCGAGTTTAGTAAATATCGATGTTAAAATTGTTGCTACTCAACGGCACTATCTTCTTTAAAAATTAACATCTTCCAAACTATTATCCGCACCATAAGGCGAGATTCGACTTAAATTTTACGAATTTTTACCATCTTTGGAGACGCTTGACTCTACAGATACCAACTTCAAATTTCATAGAAATGATCCAAAATCCTGATTGTTTCCAGCTTCGTAATTATCGGTTTCAAAATACATTTTTTAACCAACTGTCCTTTCAAAATTTGAGTCATTCGCATTCGAGCTTAGCTGACCTGCCCTAATTTTTAACTGATTTCCTCCAGAAAATATACCCTTTTTCTCTGGACAACCCGGTTTTTTAACAGTAGAAATAATCCAATTTTCTTTACTTGTGTTCCTTCAGGCTAGAACACGGTTTCTGGCTTTCGCCGTTGTTATTAGAGGCAAAATGTCTCGTTTTTTCCTTGTTACGCTTTGCATTGTACGATAAACAATACACTATGGTGCGATGAAATCGGAAGTTGCAGTAACGGGACGAGGAGTTGCCTGTTAATTTTTCTAAGGTTGAAATGTTGTTTTTCCATTTACGCAAATAATTTTCCAATTTCACTCGGAATTGAACTGGAACGAGTGAATTGAATCCGATTTTGATTTAAATTGGAAAGGGACTTTTAATGTTTCCAAGTGCCTTTGAATGTAACCCGAAACTGAAGCAATTGTAAAATGTACGTCAAAATCTAAACAGTTCTCTCTGTTTGAGCGAGATAGCGGAAAAATTCCTAGAGACTTACGACATAATTCTCTTAAAGCGCCTTAATGTGATCTGCACAAGTCTTTTAATAAATCTGGAGTGCTCATATTGAGGATATTGCAAAGCGAATTTGATTAATTTGATATTAAAGCTTGATATTGAATAAGGTCTTTGGACTTATATCTCCAACATCCACACTAGATCTGCATAGAAAATATTTGCAACTACCGGTTTATCGATTCGAAAGTAATTAATTTACTGGACGAAAAACAGCAATTTATCTTCCTGACTAGTTTTTTCAGACCGCCCTTCTTTTACGAGCTGCTCAACTCTGAAATACTCCCTCTCGCTCAACCCGATGTTTTTCCTCAATATTTCAGCTTAATGATGCCATAATCCGCATTTCTAAATCAATTTGCGTCACAAAGTGTTCACGTAACTTTCTTCTTGTCACGCTAATCTCATATACAACTGATAATGTTTTATCTTCGTCAGGAACGCTGACAGTCAATTAAAATTTTGCCATAACTTCACGCAAAATGCGCTCTAGCTTGCCAAATCCACGACAAAAACCATCCACATATCCAACGATTTTCTAAACGTGTAAAGGGGAGTTTATATAGATGGAGTTTATGCGTGAATCGTCTACTATCCGGCTTTTAACATCGATTTAAACATTAAATCTTCCACAGAGATTCGAAATTGTTCCCGTCTGAATTACCTTTTCAATGCGGCAATATCGAATTGACTTTATCAGTTCAATGGAATCAAATTCATTTCATTTTTAATTAGATTCGACCGGAAAAGTTGAGTTTGACAGAATTTCAATAACAATCCACTTTGGTCTCCACTTTACTCTTTTCAGTACAATAATTTCGTTCGTTTCCCAATTAACAAACAATAAAAGTAAAATAAAATAATTTTATTTATACAGGGTGATTCAAAATTGGCGTCATTCCTCTGGAGGTGTTGTATGGCGCTGTTATAGGAGTACAGAAAAAATAGTAAAAGAAATTAATTGTTATTACAAACTGAGAAATTTGCAAAAAAGCATATCAGAAATACGGCAGCAGTGTTTTTCAAGGTAATCTGCCTAATTAACATTGCACAAATACCTGTGGCTTCGTAATTATTTAAAACTCCGGTAACCGAAAAATTATACAGACTGACAATAAGATAGACAAGGATAAACGGTAAATTCAACAAGATTTGTTGACGAAATGTCAACCTGTTCTCATAACCTCGAATA